TTGTTACACAACGGGGGGACTCTGAGCAGCAAGCAACATTCATACATTTCAGAATGATACCAGAGAAATCAGATTACTGTACATGACCTATTGCACAAAAGCCTTCTCTGCAATATTCAGCTACTTTGAGCCATCATGGCCAGTGTTAGACTCACTAGGTCTCAGGGCAGAAGGCAGAAGTCCTGCTGCATGGGACTGCAGCCTGGGACACTAAGCGCCACCACCTGGGGCTGAAGCCAAAGCCTGAACAACTTAGCTTCACAGTGCCCCCTATGGTGTGGGGCCCTGGGCAATTGCCCTGCTTGCTGCCCCCTAATGCCAGCCCTGCCTTTTATATGCAGCAAAACAATTGTTGTGGTGCAGTTGGGCCATGGAGTTTTTATAGTGGGGAGGGGGAGAGATCAGAAAGAAAAAGATTGAGAACCCCTGATCCAGGGATTTAATTATTCTAGCTATTTGTAGGTCCACCCAAGGTGGCAGGGATAATATCCAAACTGTGGGTGAGCGAAATGGTCCAGTGGCCCTGACTTTCTCTTGAAACTGAGGCACTGTTTTGTTTTTCTTTAAGCAGTTGCCTTTTAACCACCCTTACGGGCCTGAATCATAGAGCAGTTCCATTGAATCTACCTTTACCTGGCTCCCTCTGAGCAAGTTATGTGGAACTATCTCAAATACTCTGTTAACACGGACAACTACTGAACAGGCTTTATAGCCTGTCATAAATAGAAATCAAGGGTCAGATTCTGCCAGCTATACACCTCTTGAGCAGTTCCTTCTTCCACAAGTAGTCCCTTGGTCACTATGGGACCAGTGCAAAGCCCACTGCAATCAATGGGAGTCTTTCCACTGACTTCAGTGGGCTTTGCTCCTTAGGACCTCACTTGTTCTGAGGTCTCAGAAATAATTGCCCATGGTTTTGATACTAGTTCCTGTAGCATTGTTGGGGGTCTCAGTAGGGCCTTCTACCTTGAATGGAAGTAAGTTAAAATATTAGTATGTACTCTTTTTAGACTGTGCATTCTTCAGGTACACTTTTCTGTTTAGAAAGTGCCACGCCTTTGGGGTACTACGGCAATCTAAATAAGCAAATAGCAATAATAATATGGCTTCATAATGACATAGCACCTTTTATATAAGGATCTCAATTCTTGACACACATTAATAAAAGCCTCCAAACTGGGGGGAAGAAGGGGTTTTTTTTCTCACCTATGCGGTAGATGTAAAATAGAGAAACTGGAGAAACTGAGGTCCAGAGAGGCTTAAGCGACTCATCAAAGGTCAGACCATCACTCATTGCTAAAGTTAAATATAGCCCAGGCCTCCTGACTTCCAGGCCTCTAAGACAGCAGAGTATCTTGCTACCTCGAGTACTTATTCTGGTCCAACATAATTCTTCCTTTTGACTTCTCCCTTTCCTTGCTAACTATTATTACATTAATATCCTCTTACCATTAACCATTTCTACAACTTACTTTGTATACCATCTCCTGTGGCATCCATTTGCTTAGTTAGTTTATTTGGTTTCCACATAGGGCACTTCTGCAATGAATGGTTATCAGAACTCTCATGAGTGCTGGCAATGTGTAGCAAAAGTTTTTTTGCATCAGAAGTGTTTGCTTCAAGGAGAGAACCTTGCAATAGAGTTTCTGCTTGCACTGGAATAGTTTTCATATTATCATCTTAGATAATTGCCTCATTTTAATGTGGATGAAATGAATAAGTTTGTGGAGAGTAACCATCTGCCACCTGCTCTGGAGAGGGAGTAAACTACATTGGGTCTATATCCAGTACAACAGATGCTCCTCAGCATGTTGGCACAGCTATGCTGCTGGGCTCATGGATGTAGAAATCCAGGTTCCGGCACTTCTCCTGCCTCCCCCTGTGAAGGAAGGGATGGCATGTACCAGCTCTGCAGAACCTGCTTCCTCTTCTGTGCCCCAAGACGTGGGTAGCTAGTGCAAGGGCCTGGACAACTTTTTTCATTTGGGAGACTAGAGTTTAACCACCCACCCAGCCACCCACCTCCCCACACTCTCTCTCTCTCTCTCTCTCTCTCTGTTGGCTAGCACTTTAATGAGTAGTTTGGTACCATAACTAAATCTCCGTTTTACTAAAGTGTGATAAATCAGTTTTTTGTCCCGAACTCAGTGCTTCCTTTATTTATTAATACAATCCCTAAATCTTCAGAGAAGCTAAAGCCCCCACAAGCCTCCAGTTGTCTCTGGCCATGCAGTGCATGGGGAGGCGGGGGGGGGAGAAGGGGGCGGGCAGGCGGATGCCTTGCAACCCCTTTAATCCCTTGTGCCACTGTTCAAGCAGGACAAAAAATTGACCCTAAACTCCATCTATAGTTATAAAATGAGAATGTAGGTTTCTAAATACAGAATTAGGTACATAACTTTAGGCATCTAAGACTGAAAACTGGGCTTAGACAGATCTCACTGTCCCACAGCTCCCCATAGAGAGGGGAGAAGGGTACTGATTAATGCATCAAGCTGTAGTCCAGTCTCTCACTTCTGCTCCATCAGCTGCCACTGTTTGGAAACTCCTGGACACGGTATTGAATTCTTAGCCTGGCCTCCCTCCCAGCACCCCAAAAGTGCAAGTGTATGTGGTGCAAGAATTTAAGGATCATGAATAGAATGTGCGAGAGTGTTTATAACTAAAGATGTTCCTCACAATAAGATTTGGATAACTGACCCCTGCATGCATTTTCCCCATCAATGTGTGAGCCTTGCCCTTCTGCTGGGATGGGAAGACAACCTAATCTGTCAGAATAGCCTGAGAGAGCGTGTTTGCAATGTTGCTCATTTAGGAGGACTGTATCACTTTCCGAAATATGTATTGCAGCCATTGTCAAGGCCAACCCCATCAGCTGCTCGCCCAGTAAGCACTCCTCACTCCTACAGCTCTTTTACATTGTTGCCACATAGTAATATATCTCAAATAAATATTTTGGGCAAGCTGCCACATAAAATTCTTTCTGTTGCGGGTGGTCCTTAAAAACAGTAGGGTCCTGTCAGTATTACCAGTCTTGATAATAGTGTTTACAACTTTGGGATTCAAGGGTTTCGATTTTTTTGTACTGTGCTCTAAATCGCTTGTCTAGACAGATTTCCAGTTCCAATCTCTTTAAAAGTAAGACTTTGACTTAGTGCTATGCCACTGATATACTCAATCAGTGGATTACATCGTTATTGTTAAAAGCAATCGTGCCCTGAACTGCTTCTTTTTTCCTTAATGTAGTACTCTTGGTGACTGGCTGAACTTTTTGTTACCGAAACAATGTCCCCTTTGCCTGTACAAACATGTATGAGGCTAATTCAATAACTGAAATGTTTTGTAAGTAAGGGTTGTTCACATTTTCAAGACTGTGTATTACATTTTTAGGTCAGTAGACCAGACTCAGTAGAGCTAGTCAGCATTTCACTCATTAACTGAGAGCAGGAGCTATCAAAGGCCACAATCTTACTATTAAGGAAAGTCTGTCCAGATAAAATAGTATGGCCTAGACTGATTTTGTCCAAATTGAGACACTTTAATGGGGTCTGATTCTCAGCAAGTGCTGAGCACCCACCCTGTGGAAGTCAGGGCCCTTTAAAATGCCTCAATTTGGACACCCAGAATTTAAGGCACCCAAGATGACTAATGACTTCATGTTTGTGCATACAAACACACATTCTTGTTTACCCATGTTTCTTAAAACTACCTTTTTTTTTTTAAACCTTATTTTCTTCTTGTCATATGCCCATCTTATCTAGCTTTCTATTTTCGCTCTGCTGGGGTAACAAAACTAGATTGATCATTTTCACTTTTGAAACTCAATAGGGAATTTGCCAAATATCCAAATTTTTCTAATTTAAATCCTATCTGCTAGAAGCAAATATTTCTTCTTGCATTATACACTCCTGGAGAACTTGATATGTTAATTTTATTGATGCTCTAGTCACTTCCTGAACAGGTCACTCAATTCCCCCAAATATCCATTTCTGTCCCACCCTTTTCCAGCAGCATGTGTGTGGGGCGGGTCCTTGTGTTACTGAATAAGGCAGTATTTGATTTATCAACAAGCAAAAAACACTGTCATCGCTAGAGGAAACTGAAGGCCTGAGTGATAGTGCAGTGTAGACTTTCCCAGGGTCTCAGAGCCTGGGCTCCAGCCCAAGCCCAAATGTCAACACTCCTAATTTTAGCCCTGTAGTACAAGCACAAGGCAGTTGACCTGGGCTCCAAGACTTGCTGCAGGGATTTATTTGCACAGAGTGTAGACATACTCTGAGGCTGCAGTCCTGCAAGCATTTAGGCTTTGTCCTCACTGAGGAAAAAAGTAAGTTATCTCATTAGCTACCTTGAGGAATAATCCTAAAGCAGCTTGGAGTTTTCATATAGGTTAGTAGATCAAATTAAAGGCGAAATGCCCTCTCTGCTTCATTCCGCACCATTGAAGTGAATACAGAGCATCCATTGACTTAGATGGGTCAGGATTAGACACTAAAACACAGTCCCATTGCTCACATGAGTAAGCCAATGGGCCTACTCACGTGCATAAAACTAAGCATGTATATAATTACTTGTGGCTCTAGATGGATGTAGGGCTAGAAAAAGAATATTATTTATTTCCTTATCTTGCCCAGACTTAATTTCATATCTCAAGAGAGAGAGTGTGTCAGTCAGTCTGTCCCCCTCAATTGTTGAATTGAACAGGGGATTTCCCAAAGGCCTGTAGGCTTTGGCTCACATGTAATATTTATCATGTATTGTTGGTTTATTGTAACGCTGTACAAGTAGCATACTTTAGAGACTATCTTTTAATCTATATAAAATGGTAATTTATGAAATGATGACCAAACCATGTCCATTCCTCATTTTTTCAAACAAAGTTAATATGTATAACACCAGTGTCTCATTGCCAGTTGCAGATGTTTTTTATACTGGGTGTGAATATTCAGTAGTTTATATTCTATGAATTGTTTAACACAACTATGAAACAACCAAATAAGTAATGTAGAAAGACTGTTTAATTTACAAACTGAGCAAGTTCAATGGGCATAAAATGTAGGAAATATTTTCCATATAACAGGGTACTCAGAAAGACAGACAAGGTATTCAGTTCCAATGTACAGTATGTGAATTTCATAAACAGGAGAAACATTCATTTTGGGTTGTGTTATGATATTGTGTAACATTTTCAAAAGCACTTATGTCCCAGCTCCTCAAAAGTAATTAGGCTCCTAACTGCCACTGAGGGGAGAAAGGATGACCCAGCAGTTGGGGAGACATAGGAGACACATGTTTAATTCCTTGCTCTGCCATGGACTGCCTGCGTTGGACAAGTCACTTAGGCTGTCTATGCCTTAGTTCCCTATCTGTAAGGGATCCCAGAGAAGATAGGGACTGCTAGGATAATATCACCCATTGAAACATCATGAAATGATGCCCCTATGACTGAGTTGGTCACAGAATACATGGACATAGAACTGCCATTGAAATCAGTAGCTAGGAGCCAACATACCTTTGAAGATCTGGGCCTAAGTGACTTCGAAGTCCTAATGGGACTTAACAGCTAAGTCATGTAGGTGCTTTGGAAAATGTCTCTCTAGACTTTTTCTAACAGTTATTAAGCACCCTACATATAGTACTGTTTTTAATTAAATTTTTCACTTGTTTTTCTTCACAAAACAGCAGAGTGATCTTTTAAAACACAGTGCCTTTTGTACAACTGCTATCTGCATTCCTAAAACTTTGGCAAAACTTTTTCTGGAGTTAGAAATTCAAATCTACTAACCCCAAATCTCTTACTGAAATGTAACTATTCCTTTCAAGAGAAGTCCAAACAATGGGAGATGCCAAAATTCATAGCTAGTGCTCTCATGCCTTAATTGTGTTTCTGCTGTTCTTGAGGAATCTGGCTCACTTTTCTCTCAATGTTTCATTTTCAGCAGTCAAAGTAGGAAGGACCTAGCAGTGTTGCCAAGTGTCACAATTGTAGAGTTTCCTCTATGGTTTTGGGGGGTTGGCTCATGGTTTTTTGGAATGCTTCGGAGTTGGCAATCCTGACCTGGGTGACCTATTACTACCTTAGCCCCGATCCTGCAAACCCTTATGCACATGTGTAAATTTAAGCATGTGAAATAGCCCCACTGAACTCAGTGGAATGACTTATTTACATAGAGTTACTAGCATGCTCTTGTGAGGCCTTGCTTTACAATTTCCATAGAACATAGTTCGTTGTACCTTACAGGTGGTGTGGTGGGTATTACATGACCATGAAGAATGCTCATTGTTTCCTGGAGATTGAAGTAATTATTTTAATGATGATGTTCAGTGTGAGAGGGGTTGAAAATAGATATTAGTATGTAAACGTCAGAATCAACTATTTCTAAACACGTATGTGCACGCACACACCCACAAACACCATAACATGTAGTACGCTTTGCGGTGTTCCCTAATGTGCCTTTGAATGAAGATTCAGAACAGTGCAGAATTTGGTTTCTGTGCTGACATATGTGGAGAGTTAGGATCTTTCCTGTCTCGTCCTTCTGATGTAAGTCAGACTTACAATGAGATTTTAACATTGTATTTTATGGAAAGGAGCTGCTATGCTGTACTATGTCAGTGCGTTGGCAGTATCTGGCATATGTCATTATATAGCTTTTTGTCACATGGCATCTTAAAGGAATGGCAGGAGTCATTAGGATCTATTTAGTGGTTGAATTAAGTGGGAGCACAGCTTTACCTCCTATCTTGTGTACACTACAGGGACATCCTCAGATCACATTTGGCCAACAAATGCAAATATATATTCACTCCTGTTGGTTTAAATAAGACTTCTGATACTTGACTTTTTCTTTATTGAATAGCTTTTTGGAACGCACAAACAAAACAACGTTGCAAAGTGCAAAGATTCTCACTTCCTAATTCTACACAAAATAAAGAGAAGTTCTGAATGTGTAAAGTTTTCCAAATAACTATCTAGATTCAAAGTCTTCACCTTCAGCTTTCATCTTCCTACAAACACAGGAATAGAAGTTACCATACTGGAGGTCTACTTTGTCCAGTATCCTGTCTGACAGTGATTCATATAAGATGCTTTGGAGGACTCCAAAGCCCTTTCCACTAATAAACTCTGTTCCTGCAAACTTCCAAAGCCCCTATGCACGGATTCCCTCCAACGTCTAAAACCTCTTCCCACTATCTCCTCCTCCTCTAGAAAAAATCTCTGTGTCCTACCACAAAAATCCAAAGCCCCTTCACAGATCAGGTGAATCTTCCTAAAAGCATCAAAGCAAACAAACCTATGTTTGGAAATAATGCAAATTGTCTTATTTGTAAACATTAAACAGCTGTAGCTACCCACCCTTTGCAAGCTCAGTTTAAAGAAGCAAAAGCAGCTGTAGCATCCCATCCCTCTGTAACTGATCCAAAGCCCATTGAAGTCAGTGGAAAAACATTGACTTCAATGGCCTTTGGATCAGGCCCTTAGCAAACTTCTTCATTAAGCATGCTGGGCCAAATTCATCCAGAGCTGAATTTAGCCCCCAGAATTATAGTGTATGAAGCTAGAATTCACAATTTCACATGGTCTAAAAAGTTGATTTTGTTAGGGCCTCTTCCAGTTCCTTTTCAGGTAAGTCGAAAATGTGTTCAGAAACACCTCTTGAAGTCTGTCACTGTGGAATACCCACAACGGAATGAGCTGCACGATGCATGCCTTACAAACAGTTGAACAAAAAGGAAAACAAACAAACAAAAAGGGGAGGGGGAGGTAAAAGAAAAGTCATTACAGGTAGCTATAAAGAAATCAAATCAGTGTTCATGTAGGTTATAATAATTAGCATTGAAAACTTTTGTGATACTGCTACAGTCAATATTTCAGTGTGGGGAGGGTTTTTTTTTTCAGTTTCCAACTGATGGAATCTACTCATATCAGTGCTTGTACCTAACTCCCACTACGATTAATTGGTGACATATATAAGCATCAACAATTCACAATCAGCATTAAGCCTGATCCAAAACCCCATGAAATCAATGGGAAGACTCCAGTTGACTTCAATGGGCTTTGGGATCAGTCCCTGAGAGCCCTGTAATAATTATTAAATTTAATTACCAAGATCTCATGGGCTAAACAACCAAATGTCTCCTCTCCAACAGTTACATACATCAGTGATTCTCTAACAAACTCCTCCGCAGTCTTTGTTATGAGATTGGGTTTTTGGTACATTGTCATTGGAGTAGAAACAGCAAAAGGAGCCACCACCTGAAATAAAAGATCATTATTGACAATAATTAGTGCCTTTCATTTAGAAAGGTCCTTAACACATTATAAAAGGTATATGGAGCATCAGTGAAAGGGCAGCCACCTCTCGGGTGGAGTGAGGAGAGGAAGCTTTTGTTTCACAACAGTGAGGAGGAAATTTTAGCAGGGACACTGGGCCACCCAACGCTTCTACACGGGTGTCCAGCACTTCATGGGATTGGGCTCTGTGACTGGACTTCAAATATTCATGAAAATGAAGGCAAATAACAAAGATACTATATCACCTGTATGATAATTCCCTTTGCCTTATATTCTGCTTGAAGTGCTTTGGAAAATGTGCATACAAAAGCCTAGAATAACAAAATTGAATAAACTTAGTCATAAGGAACTGAAATTACTTGTGTGCACACATGCATGCATATACACACATACCCCTTACCAAAATGGCCCAACTATCATCCAAGCTAGAGCACAAACATGTCTGCAAAACCTAGCAATGAGTTACTTAGTGCATCCACCTGCTGTACCACATTTAGAAAAGGAGGGCCTGAATCTGATCCCACAGGATCTTCTACACAGAAAAAGTTGTACCCATATTCCAGCACAAGTCAGACATGAAACAAGCGCTAGTGTACAAGGGACTCAAAAGTATCCCAGGTTATGAAAATGCAGTTTTGAGGACACAGTGGTAAAAAAGCCTGAGCTGTGTTTACACCAGTTGCTAGCACAGGTGCAGTTGTACCATTGCTGGAATATAACACATTCTTCTTTTGACACATGTGCTGAGACATCCACCCCACACCAGGCCTGCAGGGGGAAATTAGGCCAATAACCTATAGGCTGGACCTGGAGGAAACCTAGGGTGTACAAGGACCTACTTGCAGATAAGTCCAGCTCGGGGGAGGAGCTGGGCAGGATCTATAAAGAAAGGAAGGAGGTGGGTGGGCTGGGTAACCTACAGTTGCATTTCCTGATACAAGGGTAGGGTTGCCAGGCATCTGGTTTTTGACTGGAATGCCCGACTGCTAAAAGTCTGGTCGGCAGCACAGTGGGGCTAAGGCAGGCTGCCTGACATGGCTCCACACGGCTCCCAGAAGCAGCCGGCATGTCTGATTCCTAGACACAGGGGCAACCATGGTGGCTTTGCATGCTGCCCCTGCCCCAAGCGCCGGCTCTGCAGCTCCCTTTGGCCAGGAACTGCAGCCAATGGGAGCTGCGGGGGTGATGCCTGCAGGTGTGGGCAGCATGCAGAATCCCCTGGGTTCTCTGCCTAGGAGCCAGATATACTGGCCATTTTCAGGAGCCACCTGAGGTAAGCGCCGCCTGGCCAGAGCCCCCACTTTGAAAAAATCCTTCCTGCATCCCAATCCCCTGCCCCAGCTTAGAACTCTCTTCTGCATCCCAACCCCTCATCCCCAGCCCTGAGTCCTGTCTCACACCCAAACTCCCTCCTGCACCCTGCCAGCAGGTTTAAAACAAATAAAAGGAAGTTCTTCTTCACTCAGCACACTGTGGAACTCCTTGCCTGAGGAGGTTGTGAAGGCTAGGACTATAACAGGGTTTAAAAGAGAACTGGATAAATTCATGGAGGTTAAGTCCATTAATGGCTATTAGCCAACCCCCTATCCCAGCCTAGTGAGGGTGGAGGAGAGCAAACGATGGAGGGAGAAGGGATGGAGTGAGCAGGGGTGGGCTCTCAGCGAAGGGTCAGGGCAGGGGTGAGTTCCCAGGGCAGGAGTTGGGGCAAGGGTGTTTGGTTTTGTGCGATTAGAAAGTTGGCAACCCTATACAAGGGGGAAGAGTGGGAAGCTGCAAGGAGAGAGTAGGAAGCAGTCCAGGGAAGAAGCAGTAAGGGCTGGAAGAGTAAAAGCCCAGAGCTGCTGGGTTGAGGGTCCCTGGACTGGAACCCAGTGTAGAGGGTAGGCCCAGGTTCCCCTACCAGCCACTGGAGGAATGGCACAGACCAGGCAGTGAGGAGCAGACTGCACCTGAGACAGTTTGCCTTACAGTACCTTAGATAGGGGGAGAACTTTAATGTGAGTTGACTGGCAGGCTAAGCTATGAAGAGGAAAGTGCCGCAGCTCCAGGAGCATGAGAGGCTAGTGAGTGAGTGAGAACAACGACTGACTGAGTAACTACAGGAAGGGTTTTAAGACCAGATAGCAGAGCTAATTCCCCATCTGAGCCACAAGGAGGCACTGCCAAGTGGTGAGTAGTGCAGTTCCTGGGCCAATGCACTTACAGGAGAGTAACCATTGATTCCACTCGAGTTAGTCCCAATTTACTGTTGTGAGTGAAATCCAAATCAGGGCTGGAATTTGGACATATTTGTATTGCTGCTGTTCAAATGTCTTGCCAAAAATCATGAGTCAGGCCCCATAACATCATGAGCCTGGCTTACAAATAATTAGACTTTTAAAAACAGTACGTTTGGCAGAGGAAAGAGAGAGAGATACTTTCTGTTGCTTGATCCTCTAGTGTTTTAGTGTTTCCAGGCTTCTCTCCACACCAGAAGGGCTAGAAACTTGGCTTTCATTTTTTAAAAAAAGTAGTAAGAGTCTCACATAATCTCAGGTTTCAGAGTAGTCTCATGACTTCAGTAGCTGGGGCATGGAGACACACCAAATATCAAGTGACTCGGCAACACTGAGTCATTCATCAGTAATTAGATGCACAAAATCAGTGTTGAAGATAATGTTTTCTGGTGCTTTTTAGATATTATGCAGAGGGCAACTGGTGTTTTACACCTCAATAGTCTCATTCCAGCATCTGAAAATATACTATGAGCAGTGAGAGGAAAGGTCCCTTTTTAAACTGGAATTAACTATATAGTGGTAGAAGATAAATCATTTGTATGCTTTTTTTGGCCCATAATGCCATTTTAATCCCTAAATAGAATTGAGGTTCACTTTATTTAAAAAATTAAAATCACCAAAAGGCTAGACAGCTGAATAAGCCATTCTAGGCACCAGAGAATAAGGGTTGCATTTTGTGTGTGTGATTCTCAAGTAGAGGCTGGTAGACAGGCCCTCTGAAAAACAAGAGAAGGGATTGGAAAAAAACCTGAAAATTAAAGATAGACGAGTGTTAGCCTTTTAGTTCCTCTCCATTTTCTGTCACATATTGCAGTGCTCTTTATCTTGCAACAGTGACAAGAGCCAAATTCAAAAACTCTAGAGTAGAGAAGAACCCAAGCCTGGAAATGTGGCTCTGGATTGAGATCCATATTTCATGGACCCAAATTGCAAAATTAAGATCCACAGATGAATCTAGATCCCAATGTACCCATAGTTCAATATTGTTCCTGTTGGGACCATCTCTAGTCTGGAAACTTTGGGCCTGATTATCTGCCGTGCACCTTGTATAGTATGTTACTCCTGTACAAACTGAGCAAAACTGGGTGTAAAATACTATCAGGTCAGAATTCTCCACTCATTTACATCAATGGTAACATTTTTACATCCACTTTGCACAGATCAATGACTATGCAAAGTGCAAGTAGAGATGACGGATGGTTTGGTTTTTAGGATACTAGCCTAGGACTTGATCTGGGTCCGAGTCCCTGCTCTACCACAGACATCCGTGTAACAATGGGCACGTCACAGCCTCTCTGTGCCTCAGTTTCTCATCTATAAAATGGGGATGATATGGAAATGCTATCTTACAAGTTTCAGAGTAGCAGCCATGTTAGTCTGTATTCACAAAAAGAAAAGGAGTACTAGTGGCACCTTAGAGACTAACAAATTTATTTGAGCATAAGCTTTCGTGAGCTACAGCTCACTTCATCGGATCTTGTGAGTATTTATATATTGGAGTGTGAGGTTCTCAGATATATGGTCCCTGTTTCCATAATAAGTACCTAAAAAGAGACATGTCAGTCGGTCATCAGAAATTTTTAGATAATGCTGACCACGTTTTTTTCAATCTAAAAATATTTTATTGAATTTGATTTCACTTTTGAGTAGAGCCATGAGAAACTTAGGCAACCAAAAAACCCCACCTAAAAACTCAGGTTTCAATGTAGCTGAAACTTGGGCTAGATTTGTGTGAGTTTTGTCTGGGTTTTGAGGAAGCCTGGGTGGAACGTCACCCAAACAAGAGCTGAGTTTCAGCATTTTATGGGTTTTGAATGGAAATCATCAAAGTGAATCCTATCAGTATGAAGTTAAAATTTTGGGAGTTTTAACTCAAAGTGAAGCCTCCAAATGAAACACAGGCAAGGCAACCCCTACCTGCTGATGGTGGGGCAGCTGAGTGAGGGAAACTGGGGGTCCGACCCTGCCTGCCCTCCCCCGCCACGCATCTCCCATCTCCATCCTTCCACTACACAAAATTTTACCCTCCACAAAATCTGTCACATTTTGTGCATCTTCAGTCTTGAGTACACCAGTTAGCCTGTCCCTACAGAAGTTCACCATTGCCCTATTCTCTGCCTTAGTTTAGAGGGATACTATGAATATTGTGGTGGTGGTGTTTAATTGTATCTGAAAATATCAATATTATTAGTCAGATTTGCAGCTAGTGCATTGCTTCCATAGACTTCAATGGAGCTACACTGATTTAGACCAGCTGAGGTGTAAAACATTTCAGCAACACTGATTTACAAAGCAATATGAAAGACTTACTTTAGAAGCTGAATATATAGTATATAATGGACAAGGAAAGGTGCCCAAACCAGAAGAAAGGTTCAGAATAAGTCCTTTTCGTCTGAAATTCAAATTAAATTGTTAAAATTAAATTTTCCTTTTGCTATATTACAGTAGGATCTGGGTCCTGCACAAGATTAAATCTGCAGTCTTTTCCTCTAGAAGGCACAACTTTTCTATTATACAAACAGAATAGGCTACATTCTCAAAGAGAGTTTTTAGAGCTTAATTAGGCACCAGCAAATACACAGACAGAAAATTGTAGAAGTGTAATTTAAGTGAATAGTGCAACTGGAACCATGGGGGATTTTGCTCATGGTGTTTTACATCTGAGCATGAATATTGTCAGATATTTGAAAAATTCAGAGAAAAGAATTTATGCTTATAACTGCTCCTTAACCAAACCATTCCTCTTCCTACTTCCTTCATTTGTGCCTTCATTTTCCCTATACGCAGTAAAAAGCATCTCTCAGCTATTTTCATAATAACCAAAGGGAAAACTAGTAAAAGGTAAAAGCTTGTCTTTATTGTTGCTGAAACAAAAATTTACTGTATCCTAAAATAAAAATTTTCTTCTCACCCTTTTTAAATTCTAACAGATGGAAATTTAGTTATCAAAATTATGTCTTAAATATATGTTCCCTTGAAACAGATAAGAAAAGGAACCCTTTACTCATGGAGCTGAATTAATTGCTCTTAGTAAATCCAGTTATTGTAACCTATCTTTAACACTTAAATATTATTATTCCAAACTCTACAGCTACCTTTAAAAAATACTTATGTGCGTAAAGACATTTGCATGTTTAATTAGACTCATAAAAGGCAGGTTTACATATGCTATACAAGCATATCTTTTTTGTAAACTTAACCCAGTATATTACATCTTCTGATCTGCCTTATATTTTACTTTTTTGTTACAGTTCCTACCAGTTGTTCACACAGCAATGGGAGAAATAAATTATACTGAGCATCGACACACTGGAACTTGAGTAGTTATTGCAGAACTAATTGGAGCTAGCAAGTATTTGCTAGAATTAGAACCCACAGAAAGCTTAAGGGAAAAAATGTACTTTTACCTTCGCTCCATTTGTTTCAGAATTATCTGTGTCATCTACAAGAAATAAAACAGCTATGAGTTACATTCCCTCTCCCTGTGCTTTGTGTCTTTTTTTGTTTGTTTGTTTTGTTGTTGTTTTTTTTGAACGAAGAATATGTGCTAACACCTTAAGTTCTTTAAGAGTACGGGGGGGTCTGAGCCAGAGCAGGTAGGTTAAAAAAAAATACTTTGAAATTTTGGGGAAAGACTAGAAATTTTACTGGCACAGATTAGAACACATTGAGTTGAATTGTTGACCAAAGTTTCCAAGGGTCAGTTTGATATGCAACTTTCTCCAGCTTATGTAAATCTTCTCCAAACTATCTGAATTTCATGAGTCTGTAATATTGGATCAAATATCTCAATCTGTTTCTTGGTATTTCAGCATTTCCACTTCTGGTCCCAACTAGGATCAGAAAGTGCAAAAACACAATGTTTTTCCTTATCTTTTCAACTTTTTCAAGCCGCAGCATAAAAGCTTTAGGTTCATTTTGAATTTCAAAGGTTTGTGTTGTATCTTAAATATTCAGTCACCATCTCTATCACTCTAACCCTGTTTTAGCAAAGCACTTAGTTATGTGCTCAAGTCCATCCCTATTTAGTGAAGCACTTATGCACATGCTTAACATTAAGTATGGACTTGAGTCCCTTTGAACTCAATGGGACTCCTCAGTGTTCAAAGACTTACACATGTGCTTAGCTTTTAAGGAGAAGAGCCTTGATAGACAACTTACAAAGAAAGGAAGGGCTAACACTGTAAACTAGTGCAGATAAACATACTGGTGCTTAGTTCCGGTCAGCAGCGTGAAGGGGGTGAGAATGTGCATTCGGGGGTTTAAGCCTCATTTTCAAATTGGAATTTATGGACGAAAGGATGGAGCCATTTCGTGTCCGAGTGGGTGAAGGGAGAAGGTGCCAGTCATAGTGGACAAAGTGGAAAAAGGTCCAGAGATGAGTGGCTGGAAGACATCGATATGGAAATTTGCCATGAAGTTTCACTGGAACAAGGAGGGCAGAAGAGAGACTACAGTATCAATGAAAGCAGATGCCACAAGGGACATCCTGCCCCTATCCAATACAATGGCAAAAATCCCATTAAATGCACTGGAGCCAGGATTTCACCTCACGATGTTTAGAGCTTGCAGGAGGTCAAGAGCTTACATATGATCAGGACAAAAATGAGAAACCAGCAGAAACATCTGAAGAGAGGATGGATCTAGTCAGAGACATGATTAATTCTTGTACCAGCACTTGGAATAGACTGAAGGGGGCATGTGGCTTTGTGAGAGGCCAGAGAGGTGGCGGTTGCAGTAACTAGGGGAAGACATCATCCAGGCCGAGAAAGGGAATTATTTGGTGGAGGGGTAGAGAGGAATTGGCAGATTTTATGGAAGTTTTATAGAAAGAAATGGCAGAAATAAATAGTTTATTTTAGTTGAACAATATGAAAGGATTTATACATCAAACCTTGAAGAAGAAATCATTTGCCTAACCAGCTAACACAGCTTATTTTGGCTTGTCCCACTTCTACACACTTAAATTTAGCCTTTTAGCTGTTTCCCCCCCCAAGAATTATTTTGGGGTTTGTGCTGGATTTTAAAATCCAGACACCTTTCAAGAAGAGAGATTCTTTGGTAAGCAGTCAAAGCAATTCTCAGAGCATAGCCTTTGAGAAAGTATGTGGTGTGATCAAACAGGCCAAATTGGGGGAGGTAGGTATGTTAGATAGGGGGAAGAAACTCTCAACAATTAAAGAGGAAAGTCTGTCGATAAAAGCCTCTCATGTCATGTTTATAAAGATATTAGCTAAGGTTGAGATGAACTATGAAGCATTTAGTTGTAGCTCAGGTTAACATGTTGCCCCAAACAGCAGAGCAACAAACCTTAATCAGAGCTGGGGAGGTGGTGAAATACTAACTGTGCTTGAAAGGGAAGTAGCTAATCAAAATTAGAGCTGGCCAGAGAACAGTTTTGTTTTGAAACAACTTATGAGGTTTTGAAATCTGTCTTCAAAAGGTTTGTTCAATCTGCAATGAATGTTTTCACAAGGTGGAATTGCATCACATCCATTTTTGAAGCAAAAAGGTCAGATTTTCAATATCTCTCTCTCCAACCAGTGTGGACAAGAAGCTTTCCTGTCAAAGGTTTTGTCAAAATTGTTACCTTTTTGCAAAAAGTTTTGGTTTTTGCCACAACAGCCTATTTAGACAACCAAAAATAGTTTGTTGAGAACTTTCTGACCAGCTCTAATCAAAATGTTTCACACGTAGCAGAACCTAGCAAGTTAATTAGACTCCTAAAATAATGCTTCCATTATGGCTCAGGATGAGCAGCTAAGAAGCCAGCCAAAATGCAAGGAGATAAGAAAACTCATTGTCACTGTTTGAAACAATATCTTTCTCTGGTATAATACATTTATTTCTTTATACACTGAATGTGTGTTGTACATACCTTGGTAACAGAGATAATGTTGCAGTTGATGAGGTTCTGTTGAAAACAAGAAAATAATGCAAATTTAAACACATTTTGAGGGGTCACTTAGCTGGCATTTATAACATGAGGATTCAGTTTGCACAGACTTCTAATGGAACATCCAGGGTAAAAAGTAATTCAAAAGGAGGCTGCAAAAATGCATGCATATTTACCAAGTTTGTACATGCAAATAACTATTTTCCTGCACAATTATCCATTTGTCATTGTATGTTCATTTGTAAGTATGTTTAGTTAGGCCCCAGTTCTCCTCCCACTGAATTCAACAGTGCGACTTCCACAGACCTCAATGGATGCAGGATCTGTCCCTTAGTAAATGGAACCTCCGGCCCTAATTGTTACATTGCAAGAAAAAACAACAGTACTACAACGTAATCCTACCTCATCTGTGTCTGCTCCATTTAGGAAACGGCATGGAAGAGAATTATGAAGCATTCCAACATTGTTAACTAGTCAGGAAGGAAACAGAACAAGAAGAACTATGTTTGGATGAAGTGCATAGTTTAGCTGGTTAAACAAAAGGTTTCTCCTTAAGATGCTTTTAAGCTATATGTGAAGAGAAATGCTACGTTAGTGACCCATCTTACTCCCACTGAAACCAAAGCCATTGATATTGACCTCAGTAGAAGCAAAACCAGGCTATTACTGGTTTTTTTTAATTCATTAAAGGGATACTTAAAAAATACTTTGTTCCTATTCATATCACTCCGGTTAGCTTTAACAAAAAGTTCATTTCTAGCGGCTTTCAGGTTCAGTGCAAGAATTCCACACAGCTGTAAAACAAATGCTGAAAATGAATTCATTGAGATTAAACAGGCAGAGTTACCACATAAAATGGATACTACTCAGCAGGTGGTAGATTGGCTTAGATGGTAAATAAATTACTGTACCCTATTAGAGAAATAGGGAACCCAGAGAGGGCCTTGATTCACCTCTACAACCTGTATAATAAACAACCAAAACCAGTTTATTAAGCAAGTGCACACTTAGTTTTAATAACGTCTACATGTTAAAACCAGCTGTTAGTGTCATATACATCATGTTCTAAAACAAGTGATGCCAATTTGTAGTTCCATTGCAGTAAGCTGCAATTACTTAAATGCATTTGTATTTATATAATGTATTATCAAAATACTCTTCAATTAATGGGTCTAATTAACTTACCCAAAATGCCAATTTCTAAGCCTTCAAGACTTTCTTCAATATTCTCATATATGTGATCTTTTGTAAAGTCAGCTTGTATGATCTTCACATGTCTACCTGTGGCCTGTTCTGTAATTAACAACACAAAATGCCTTTATATATAAATAGAGAGAATTGCAATCAAGAGGAATGAGCCAAAGAACTTGGTTCACCCTTTTGTATTGCACTCTGTACTACATGCAGCTGTTTCAACTCCCTTGCTTTTTAACAGTAATCAAAATATAAGCAAAAGGCACTTTCTGTAACACATTTTTTAAGGAAAATGTAAGGTCAGTTTCTGCTCTGAAATCTGTGGAGCGCTGCCCAAATATCAAGACAAAATTTAGCCCCCTAACTATAAATAATGCAAAATTTCTAACATTTCCCCCGATTATTTTAATGTTTATAAGAGAAGGGTTGCAATTTATTGAAAAAGAACATGCTGACAGATCTTTGATGTAAACTCTGTTTTATACAATTATTTAAAAAGTTTGCTTCTTTGTAAGATGAACATTTTAACAAGCAGAACTGGACTTGGCATTTTGGGTTCAGGTTGTGAAACAATATTTTGCTGCCTCCCTCTGAAATATAGCCTATTTGTGTTATTCATAATCACACCACTGTAAAATGGGTCAGGCTAAGGATTTTGGGAAGGATTATTGAGGCAACTCTTTGGGCAACACCTCAACTTTGACTCATTTTACATAAAAGGGAAATGGGAGAATCTATAATCTCTCCCCCTCCCCAACACCTACCCCTCCTCCTGCAAAAGTGGAATCCAGCTGCAGAATTCTGTCTCTGAGTTGTTTGATTTATATCCCGTTTACATTTTCAATGCTGTCTTCACAAAGAAGAGAGGTTGACTGACTGACTTCACAAATGAAAGCTGAAATTCTCTGTTGGAGAGCTCAAATTATAACTCTGCTAACAAGGGGGCTCACATGAGAAATATTTACTACTAAACCTGCTTTCAGGTTTCATGATCATCTTGAACCTCCGACCAGGTTTGTTGAAAGATTTGCTAAGTGAATCTAGGACCAGTTGAAAGGCTCTCTCTTCCTCCCTTTCTTGAACGGTGATCTGAACACACACATTTGTCAACAATGGAAATGCAGAGACCATTTCAGGTGCACACAGACTCCAGAAAGTCTAGGAGCTTCCTTCGGTGAAATGGAAACTGATTCTATAGCTATACGGAATTGGACTTTGTATCTAACTTTCCTATGTGTTTCTTTTATGTCACCCGCTAGTGTCATCAGAGCTTGGCCTTTTGGTGGAGGGAGAAGGGAGAGACCCTAATTTCCCCAGAAATTGCAAGCTTCTAATTCCACTTCAGTTATCAGCATATCTTCAGATTTGGCAAGAGCTTGCTTCTTCTGTACATCTGAGCTCTGCTTGGGGCAGGACAGCAGGGAGGCTGTCAGGAAGCCAATTATGGCTCCGTGATTCTGCGGGCCGGACTGTGCCAGGCCTGGCATGAGTTAGAGAACCAGTGTAATGGAGTGGAGCAGAGCTCCAACCTTTTCCCTCCCTGCCCCCGCCCAGTATGGTGTGGGGTGAAAATGGCTGGTGCAGGAGCCAGCTCCATCAGGTTTGTACCAGCTGAATCCCTGCACCTGAGTAGCACAAAGGATCCTGAGCTAATTGCAGAATCTAGCCCTAAATGTACAGGGAAAGACTCCAGCAGCAGCACTTTTCCTCACCACAGTGAAAGTCTCGGGCGGCATGGAGCCGACAAAGCCTTTCTCTGCTGCCTCCCCTCTTCCGGAACCTTTCGCTGACAGACGTAGCTGCACACCATAGTGTGGAAAGGGACCCTGGCAACTCTGGTCAGCACTGCTGACCAGGCCATTAAAAGTCCATTTGGCCACAGCGGGGCTGGCCGGCTCCCTGCCAGGGTCCACGCAGCTCCCAGGAAGAAACTGGCATGTCCCTCTGGCTCAGGAACGGCCCTCGGGGCTCCACGTGCCTCTGCCCTGAGGGTCTGGGAGCCACCCAAGGTAAACACCGTCTGGAGCCCGCACTTCAAACCTCCTCCGGCACCCCAACCCCCTACCCAAGCTCAGAACCCCCTACTGCACCCAAACTCCCTCCCAGAGCCCGCACCCCAAACCCCTGTCTCAGCCTTGAGCTCCCTCCTGCACTCCAAACTCCTTGGCCCAGCCTGGAGCCCCCTCCTCACCCCAAGCCACTCATGCCAACTCCACCCCAGAGCCCTCACCCCAACCCGGTGGGGGAGAGCGAGTGATAGAGGGAGGGTGGGATGGAGCCTCAGAGAAGGGGCAGGGCAGGGGTGGGGCAGGCACGGCAAGGGTGTTCGATTTTCTGCGGTTAGAAAGTTGGCACCCTATGTGACATCTAGCTATACATACTTTACACACTGCCATCCAATGGTTTATAGTATAAACATAGCCTTCGTTTTATGGTTTGATCAATGTTTTACATACACGACACAAAATGTGTTACATTAGGAGCCTAATAGACATAACGGCTCTACTTGTCTGCACAAACTCAATCTCTTTTTTTCTCTCGAATCTTATCTTGATTTTTTTAAAGGCCTTCCTGTCTGAATAGGTGGAAATTTCACTCTACATTCCAACACTGGAGATAAGTGTTTTTTTAATTCTGGATTTCTGCCCATGTAGAATTCCAATTCTGCGAACTCCTATGGCACAACTGTAATTCATGGGGCTGAACGTGTCAAAAGAGTAATCCTTTTCAACTCACTTCCTATACTGGAGGAGGAGGTGTTCGCTATTTGTTAAAGTACTGGACTGAGAATAAGGAGGTGTAGGTTCAATAACCAGTGCTGCCACACATTTATGTGACTGTTTAAAAATTAATCTCTGTGCCTTCGCAAAGTATTTCTAGCCACCAGTTGTGGATAATGATACTCATCTACTTCACAGAGTGGTATGAGAGTTAATGTTTTGTAAACACTTTAGGAACAGAATCCTGGGTCTCCTGAATCCAGTGCCCTATTACACCATGCTGCCTGTCACAGTCTTCTTCAGATTTAAACACTTACCAATTTCAGTGGCTACTTTCTGCAGTTTTTCAAGTGTTCTGCTTATCATAACAATATTTAATCCACGTTTTGCCAGCTACAAAAGAGGTGTTTAAAATGATTAAAACCGATGACATTCTGGTGATGAGAACATTAAATGACTTTTTTAGCTTTCAGCACTAAGCATTTTATTTAATATTTCATTTACTTTCAAGTACCCATCACTGTACTATCTGGAGACATGACAAAAATGAAAACCAAGCAACACATTAGTTAAACTGCTTATAGCAGCTGCACAAACATCCCCCTCCCTATATGATCCTGACCCATCATAACAAAACCCTCTGAGCGTCAACAAACAAAAGATTTGCCAAAACAATGTCCCTTGAGCCCTTCTCGGAAAGGCTCTAATTAATTGACAGAAGGAGAGCAATTCCACCTGATATTTCCAATAAGGGGCCTTCTGCTGTAGAACTGACTTCCCCATTAATTCACCAGAACCTGAATTTGTTGACCTCCAGGTCACTCTATAATATTTCATGTTTTTCCAACATGCTTCCCTCCCCCCCCCCCACCCTGAGAAAAGGGGCTAAATGGGCTGTATTGAATAGTGGGAGGGTCCTAACTTTGGGATGAATTTTAAAAGGATTATATATTTTGGACTTTGGTTAGAATTTATATTATATAATATATATATCATGCCGCCAAAACTTGAATGAGAGAATTTTTAAGTAAAGTGAAGTAAATAAACAAGCAAGAGTTTTTGTGCACACAAAAGCACATCCATAAAAATGTAGACAAGAATTTAGGTTTGTAGATGCAAACACTTCTTGACATAAGTCTGTTTATAGTTGGTGAGGTAATGTGAAATAATGCAAAACAAATTGTCATATTCTCCCCTTATTCTTATGGCTTCTTGTGGTAATTCTAGGCCTAGCAGCAGTCAGTTTGCAGGCAGGCAGCCTAGAGTAAAGTGGGGTGATTTGTAGCTCTCTGTTTTAAGGAGCAGCCTGTTTTGTCTCTCTCTCTCTCCGTTTTTGGGGTCTTGTGTGTTATAATTCTGAAGTCTAAGAAATAAAGTAGTGTTAGGTTGCAACCTTCCAGCAAGAGTATTTTATGTTTTTATCTAACTTCTCTCTGTGTGTACATATATATCATGAACATAAACATTTCCACTCCCAATTAGAGCTTTGTGCACAGATTGAAAGGAGAATATGCCCCAGCTTGTGGAGTGTATGTTTTTAACAAGCTGAAGTTGCACTAGAGTTTGGGTGCGTGATCAGAGGAGAGAGCTGAAGCTAGAAAGCTGCCCACAGAAGCAGGGAGAGGCGGAGTTAAATAAATGTGCACAAAGATAAGGTCAACTTCATCTGAAAGTACCAGGTTTTACTTAGAGAGTAAGAAACTAGTTGACAAACCCCACACACTGAAAAGGCATTCATTTCTGTAACTGACTCCCTGCAATGCTTTCCCCCCTAAATCTATTTGAGGGAAAGTTTGTCCCATTGAGCTTCCCTGAAACAATGAAAAGAATGTTAAGAAATAAGGACCTTTGTTTAAAAATTTGCTACATCGAGAGTATGAGGGGGAGATTGTCCACTAAATGTATTGGAAACAACCATTTGCATTTTAAGCACAAAGACCATTCTCACAGTTCTGAGCTTTTGGAGACTCTTACATAATTGTCCGGTGCCACAAAGAAACATGCAAACACTTAGACACTGTGGCGTTTTGAAAGCTCATTTTAAGGGCTGCATTTGAAGTACAGGAAGAGAACTCTAATTGTCTACGTACTGGCAAATTTCCCTTTGTCCACATTAGTCTTGACTCAAGCTGTTTCCAATCTATTCGGAAGGCAACAGAGACATGGTCGCTGTTTCCATGGTCACTCATTCCAAGTTGTAATTTGGGGACCATTTGGATGGGTTTTTTAAGCATTCAGATCCATGCTAGTAATATAAATATCATCATCAAAAACTGAGCTATTTTTCTGAACTTTGGTTTTAATAAATGCGTTTCACTGATTTTTATTGCAGTTTGCTGAAAAAAGTAAATGATAATGATTTTCATTGCTAAATGAAATGCCAAATTTCAGCCAAGAATAAATGTTTATGGCCAGCTAATAAAACCCTAATAAACAGTGATCATTAGACAAGAGCAGGAATCATTTTAGCTTCTCTATAGCAGGCTGGAAATGTGACGTGATGATGGCCAATTTTTAATGCAAAAGAGAGTTGGAAAATACCACTCTACTTGGGCTTGTATACTATGGCCTTTTCTGTATTGAGAAAATTCATTTTTAATCAGTCATGTTGAAGGGCAAAGTCATGTTTAACATTCTATTAGTAAAAACATCTTTGTTAAAATACTTTCTAAGACAGGTTTCAGAGGAACAGCCGTGTTAGTCTGTATTCGCAAAAAGAAAAGGAGTACTTGTGGCACCTTAGAGACTAACCAATTTATTTGAGCATGAGCTTTCGTGAGCTGTAGCTACAGCTGTAGCTCACGAAAGCTCATGCTCAAATAAATTGGTAGTCTCTAAGGTGCCACAAGTACTCCTTTTCTTTTTTCTAAGACAATGCATTTTCCTAGTACAGACAAGGCCTGTGATGCAGCTAGAGAATAGAATTTCCCACTGCGGATGAGAGCAAGCCCCAGCTTCCAGCATTATGCAACATAAACCTGTTTGTATTAGGAAATCCTGACTCCCAGTGGTAAAGGATTTAAATGCTCATGAAATTCTGGGATTCCTAAAAGGCAAGATCATCATGACTACTTCCAGCAGTGACAAATGTCTAAGCATGTTGAAACAGGTTAATAGAAGGCTTAGGCACGCATTGTAGTGTGCAACAAAAGACTTTCACACACATCAAACCAGTAAAAAAACCACTATGCCTTATAGTGCATTTTTGCAGCTTCCAGAATGAGCCAAGTTTTCAAATAGCTAGAGCCACATGCAAAACTGCACAGATTTTGGGCCTCATTTGTGCATGTTATTACTGCCGTTGCACACACAAACTGGCCATACTCAGACTAGATCATAAGAACTTAAAGTTGCAGGATTATGATTTATGGAACAGTTGTTCTAGATTTCTAGACGTTTGTAAAAGCTATTAGATTTTTTTTCCCTAAGGTCTATATAGTGGGATTTTGGGCAGGACTGGCATCCCCAGTCATTTTTTTTTCTTTTAATTTCTCGCGGTTCAACCCTGTGAGACCTGTCTGACTCAAATCTCTCAACAAATATGTGGCCCAGAGGAAGTAGGATAGGAGAGCAGGATTGCAAAAATGAAGCTCACCAAAAGGAGAAATGGATTCTGCAAAACTGCTTTAAAATGTTTCTTCCGGTTCTACTGCTAAAACAAACCTAAAATATTTGTGTCTGCAGAAGGATGTAATGGGAGACTCCTGCAACACTGTAAAATAGTGAATCAACTGGAATAGGGCAACTCAAGCCATAATTAATTTTCACCAGATTGTAAATAACAGGCTAAGTTTTAACAAATCACACAAAGGTTTTCCCAAACACCAAAGCTTATATTATATGAAATTCCTCGCTCTCAAAAATGATCTAATGAAACCCTGATTTAAGCAAATCAACCTTAAATGTCTAAAGATATGAAGCTATTAATAAACAAGAAAAGTTGTAGTCAAAAATTGCCCTATGCTTTCACTTCAGCTCAGCAAGTTCAGGGTGTTTAGAAATGCTGAGCCACAAGCCTTACATAAATACGGGTCTTCATATTAGCCAAGCAAACTAGAGATGCTCAGCCAGTAATACTCACAGAAGTCTGTCCCTGGACATCATTCCAGGAAGATAGAAGTGTCAAGCCTGTAAATTGCCAAAGGCCAGTGCCTTGACATGCTAAAAGTGCAGCGTAATGGTACATGTAGGTACCAATGCTAAAAGTGCAGCATAGTGACTTCATAGGGGCCTAAGACTTCACATAATCCCAGCAAGCTGTGGCTGCTGAGCCAGTAATTCTCACAGAGACCTGTGCCTTGAGATCAGTTTAGCAAGTCTGAAGCCTTGACATCAGCCCCCAAACTAAAGGGCCTCACAGAAATCTGTTCCGTGAAATCAGCCAGCAAGCTAGAGCAAGTAACCTCAGAGTGGTCTCTGCCTTGATATCAGACTAGTCAGCTTGAGGAACTCAGCCAGTATTGTCACAGATGCCCAAGAAGCTGGAAATGCTGATTCAGAGACCTCATGGGAGTCTGGACTTTCACATCAGCCCAACACGCTAGAGTGCTCATCCAGTGGTCTCACAGAGGCCTGAACTTTAATACAAATCCAGAAAACTATACGTGCTGAGTCAATTGCTTCCACAAGCCCTGTGACATTAGAAAGCTATAACTGTCATGCCAGTAACACTATGCCTTTACATCAACCCAGAAAACTAGATATGCTGAGCCAGGAACCCTCACAGGGGCCGCCCCTCACAGAGGTTGCAGATGTCTTGAGGCATCTAGATAAACTTATGTGTAGTGCTGGGAAGAGCAGGTGGTCGTGGTACATGTAGGTACCAATGACATAGGGAAAAAAGTAGGAGAGACGTCCTGGAGGCCAAATTTAGGCTGCTGGGAAAGAGATTGAAATCCAGGACCTCTATGGTGGCATTCTCAGAAATGCTTCCAGTTCCACATGCAGGGCCAGGTAGGCAGGCAGAGCTTCAGAGTCTCAATGAATGGATGAGATGATGGTGTAGAGAGGAGGGGTTTAGATTTATTAGGAACTGGGGAAACTTTTGGGATAGGGAGAGCCTATACAGGAAGGATGGGCTCCACCTAAACCAAAGTGGATCCAGACTGCTGGCACTTAACATTAAAAAGTTTGCAGAGCAATTTTTAAACTAAGAGATGGGGGAAAGCCGATTGCTGCAGAGGCGCACATGGATCAGACAGAGACTTCTCTTAGAGGAGAGTCGATTGATAGAGATTCTCTAGGTTTTAGTCAGGAGGAGAGGATGGAAGAGAATAAAGTATGGGCCAGATCAGACAAGAAACATTCACATAAAGAATCTGCACATCAGAAAAGGGCAGACAAATAAACAGTGACAAGTTTTTAAAGTGCTTGTACACAAATGCTAGAAGTCTAAATAATAAGATGGGTGAACTAGAGTACCTCGTGTTAAAGGAGGATATTGATATCATAGGCATCACAGAAACCTAGTGGAGTGAGGACAATCAATGGGACATAATCATTCCGGGGTACAAAATACATCGAAGGACAGAACAGGTCGTGCAGGGGGTAGGGGGGAGGCACTATATGTGAAAGAAAATGTAGAATCAAATGAAATGAAAATCTTAAATGAATCCACATATTCCATAGAAGCTCTGTGGATAGTAATTCCATGCTCTAATAAGAATATAACAGTAGGGATCTATTATCGACCACCTGAGCAGGACAGTGATAGTGATGAAGAAAAGCTAAGGGAGATTAGAGAGGCTACCAAAATAAAGAACTCAATAATAGTGGGGGGATTTCAATTATCCCCATATTTACTGGGTACATGTCACCTCAGGACAAAATGCACAGACAAAATTTCTCGATACTTTAAATGACTGCTTCTTGGAGCAGCTGGTACAGGAACCCACAAGGGGAGAGGCAACTCTCGATCTAGTCCTGAGTGGAGTGCAGGATCTGGTCCAAGAGGTAACTATAACAGGACCGCTTGGAAACAGTGACCATAACATAACAACATTTAACATTCCTGTGGTGGGAAGAACACCTCAGCAGCCCAACACAGTGGCATTTAATTTCAGAAAGGGGAACTATGCAAAAATGAGGAGGTTAGTTAAACAGAAATTAAAAGGTACAGTGACTAGAGTGAAATCCCTGCAAGCTTCATGGACACTTTTCAAAGACACCATAATAGAGGCTCAACTTAAATGTATACCCCAAATTAAAAAACACAGTAAAAGAACTAAAAAAGAGTCACCATGGCTTAACAACCATGTAAAAGAAGCAGTGAGAGATAAAAAGGCATCTTTTAAAAAGTGGAAGTCAAATCCTAGTGAGGTAAATAGGAAGGAGCATAAACACTGCCAAATTAAATGTAAAAATATAATAAGAAAAGCCAAAAAGGAGTTTGAAGAACAGCTAGCCAAAAACTCAAAAGGTAATAACAAAATGTTTTTTAAGTACATCAGAAGCAGGAAGCCTGCTAAACAACCAGTGGGGCCCCCTGGACGATCGAGATACAAAAGGAGCACTTAAAGACGATAAAGTCACTGCAGAGAAACTAAATGAATTCTTTGCTTCAGTCTTCACGGCTGAGGATGTTAGGGGGATTCCCAAATCTGAGGAATTGTCACAGACTGAAATGTCACTAGAGGAAGTTTTGGAATTAATTGAGAAACTTAACAGTAACAAGTCACCGGGATCAGATGGCATTCATCCAAGAGTTCTGAAAGAACTCAAATGTGAAATTGCAGAACTATTAACTCTGATTTGTAACCTGTCGTTTAAATCAGCACCTGTACACAATGACTGGAAGATAGCTAATGTAACGCCAATATTTAAAAAGGGCTCTAGAAGTGATCCTGGCAATTACAGACCGGTAAGTGTAATGTCAGTACCGGGCAAATTAGTTGAAACAATAGTAAAGAATAAAATTGTCAAACATGTAGAAGAACATAAATTGTTGTGCAAAAGTCAACATGGTTTCTGTAAAGGAAGATCATGTCTTACTAATCTATTAGAGTTCTTTGAGGGGGTCAATAAACATGTAGACAAGGGGGATCCAGTGGACATAGTGTACTTAGATTTCCAGAAAGCCTTTGAAAAGGTCCCTCACCAAAGGCTCTTATGTAAATTAAGTTGTCATGGGACAAGATGGAAGATCCTTTCATGGTTAAGAGATAGGGAACAAAGGGTAGGAATCAATGGTAAATTTTCAGAATGGAGAGGGATAACTAATGGTGTTCTCCAAGGGTCAGTCCTAGGACAATCCTATTCAACTTATTCATAAATGATCTGGAGAAAGGGGTAAAAAATGAGGTGGCAAAGTTTGCAGATGAGTTAAGACCAAAGCAGACTGTGAAGAACTTCAAAAAGATCTCACAAAACTAAGTGATTGGGCAACAAAATGGCAAATGAAATTTAATGTAAAGTAATGCACATTGGAAAAAATAACCCCAACTATACAAACAATACGATGGGGGCTAATTTAGCTACAACTAATCAGGAGAAAGATCTTGGGGTCATCATGGATAGTTCTCTGAAGACGTCCATGCAGTGTGCAGCGGGCAGTCAAAAAAGCAAACGGGACGTTAGGAATCATTAAAAAAGGGATAGAGAATAAGACGGAGAATATCTTATTGCCCTTATATAAATCCATGGTACGCCCACATCTTGAATACTGCCTGCAGATGTGGTCCCATCATCTCAAAAAAGACATACTGGCATTAGAAAAGGTTCAGAAAAGGGCAACTAAAATTATTAGGGGTTTGGAACAGGTCCCATATGAGGAGAGATTAAAGAGGCTAGGACTTTTCAGCTTGGAAAAGAGGAGACTAAAGGGGGATATGATAGAGGTATACAAAATCATGAGTGGTGTGGAGAAAGTGAATAAGGAAAAGTTATTTACTTCTTCCCATAATATAAGAACTGGGGGCTGCCAAATGAAATTAATGGGTAGCTGATTTAAAATAAATAAAAGGAAGTTCTTCTTCACTCAGTGCACAGTCAACCTGTGGAACTCCTTGCCTGAGGAGATTGTGAAGGCTAGGACTATAACAGGGTTTAAAAGAGAACTGGATAAATTCATGGAGGTTAAGTCCATTAATGGCTATTAGCCAGGATGGGTAAGGAATGGTGTCCCTAGCCTCTGTTTGTCAGAGGGTGGAGATAGATGGCAGGAGAGAGATCACTTGATCATTACCTGTTAGATTCACTCCCTCTGGGGCACCTGGCATTGGCCACTGTCGGTAGACAGGACACTGGACTGGATGGACCTCTGGTCTGACCCAGTACGGCCATTCTTATGTTCAGAGATCTGTCCTCTGTTATAAACCCATAAGTGCAGAGGTGTTGAGCCAATACCCATATAAAGGCCTTTTGGCTTCAACCCAACAAACTAGAGGTGCTGAGGAGGAGACATCAGTGAGACCTGTGCCTTCACATCTGCCCAGAGAACATGAGGCACAGAGTCAGTAATGTCAGAGGGGTTTATACTTTGATATCAGTACAGCAAGGCAGAGGAGCCATGACAGAAACTTCAAAGGGTCAGAGGTATTTAACCAGTAGCCTCACAAAATCCTGGGCCAGCCAAATGAAGATGCTGAGCAGTGAGCTCACAGAGGCCTGTGCCTGGCGTCTGCCCTGTAGATTAGCTGAGCAGGGTTTAAATCAATAAGGCTACTTGTGGAGTAAGGTCCTATTCAGCATAAATAAAGATGGTGGAATCTGACTCTTACTCATACAACAAAAGCCAAAATAATTAACAAATGCTCCACAGTAACTGGTCAGTAACAGCCAAAGTTTCCAAACCACACTCAAGCTGTTCTACTCCTCCCCAGTAACACAAAGCAGCATAAATGTGTTTTAATTGTCCTGTTAAGCCAGGTTTACAGTTGCTTTCTATTGCTCAAGTAGCACAAAGCAGGCAGTGTGCACTGAGTCTGACACATAACATTTGCAGGTGTACCTCTGTATGCATGCAAAACCCACATTTGTGTGGGCAACACAGCATTTGTAACGACACATTGGTTAAATGTCATCCAAACACTCACTTATATGCACTGATCCCCAAGTTCCACGTGTAGGCATTTGCACTCATAAATGTGGTTTTGAAGATGCAATTGGGCATGCATACTTATTCCTCCTATTCTGCACATTCTTCTCCTAGATGATCCCCTCCCCACACCTGCCCATTCACTGAGAACTGGACCAAAGACAAGGGAGGGAGCAATGCTGCAGAGAATGAAACTGACCCACTCTTCTGCATGAGAAGGGTGTGATCCATGGGTCATGGAGGCTGGTTTGGACACAATAATAATAATTACCAATGCATATTACATTATAAATACTAGACACTTTTGTTTATGCTTTATATGTTCAAACAAACTACAATACTGACAACCCCAAATGCTCAAAACCATGCGTCAGGCCCTTAATGCCCTAAGATTGGCTTAAAAATAATGTTTTTAATATGTTTTTTCTATGCCTTCTGGTTTTTGTGCCATCAGATAACATTTTCAAGCTTTTCTCTGTAACCATGAGGGCTAGAAAAAAAATTTCAATTAAAACTGAGATTCTGTCACAAACATTTGTTTCCAGGAGCAGGGGCATTAAGTAACCCAGCATGGAACTCACAATAAAATTGTGGGAGTTGGCACTGCTATTAAATAGTCACCCCTGTGAGGTAGATATTATTATCCCAGTATTAAAACTGGGGAAATTGAGGCAAAAAGGTTAAGGCCAACACTTTCAAATTTGTGTTTAAGGTTAGGCACCCAAGTTTGAAATACTTGGCATAAGTGACTTGCTCAAAACCAAACAGCAGGTTAATTGAGAATGGAATCCAGGTCAATAGATTTTCCAGTCCCAAACCTAGTCTATTAGACTATACTGTCTCCTAAAGTTTATACTATATAATTATTACAGAATGCGTTAAATCTTTAGGATCACTCAGTATTTCCCTGTGATTTTCTTGGCACTATGGAAGCAGTTGGGGCTATTTCATGTCATTCTTCTAATTTTGAAAGTGAATATCATATCTCTAAGTGATAACATGAGTTATGCACATACACAGAAGAAAGATTAGGTCCCTAAGCATATAATGTTCTTAACTGTAGAATCAGTTTACTAAGTTACAGAGAATGTTGGAAGGGAGGAAATTTCCCATTCACCAATATTTCCCATTCACCAATATTTGATTTTATAGATGCTTTACTTACCTCAAGGGAATATGCTTTTCCAATTCCATCTCCTGCTCCTGTGACCACTAGGGGGAAAAATAAATTTATAACCTTCTTTTGTTCGTCCTTTCATTATTCAATCTTTTTGTTTCAGAATTTCCTAAACACTAATGTCCAGTGCTCAAAGAGCTGGGCTAAAAGTGCAAACTTTAGTCTCTTTTTAGTTTTTCTCCAAGGAACCTGCTTCCACTAATCAGTGATTAAACACATTGTACAGAAAGTATGGCTTATAATTCCCCTTAAAGTGCAAGCAGAACAATAATTTGTACCAATGGTGTTTCATTCTAGATATTTCATTTAGTTGAAAAAGTCACAATGCCAATAAGTATAATTATCACCTTATTTAGCTCTTTTCAATGTCAAGGTATTTTAATAACATTGACTGATTAATCCTTATAGCAACCCTATTAGGTACAGTTAGATCAGTATTATCCCCATTATAGATGGAGAAACTGAGTCAGGATACCAAACCAAACCAATAGACTCAATTCTTTTCTGCAAAAGAATTTGAGCAAAATGTTCTAATCTCTCAGAGATTTTTCAGTGGCACAATGGGGCAGTTAGGCGCACAACCTGATTGAAAGTAATGGGAGGTGGATCTCTTGAAAATTCCAGCCTTATCCCATGTTTAAGTACCTGTCATGAATACCACCAGCCCGGAGGAGTCTTCAGGTGACCTATAAAAATGCCACAGAGTTTCCTCCTCACAACTAGTAGCAAAACCAAAAGGTGCAATGAATGAATCTGGTCCTGCCCCTCTCAACTTCTCCCCACCCTAGACACAATCGGAGCTGAGTAGCATGTCAGGCCCTTTGCCTCTTCCCCACTCTACATGGCTCAGACCAGCCTACAGGTATGTTTACACTGCAATAAAACACCCTGCAGCTGGCCTTGGTTAGCTGACTCGGACTCAGGCTGTGGGCTGTAAAATTGCACTGCAGCAGTTTGGACACTGGCACATCCCGCCTTGCAGGGTCTCAGAGCCCAGACTCCAGTTTAAGCCTGAATGACTACAGCACAATTTTATAGCCCCGCAGCCTAAGCCTTAGTTAGCTGACCCAGGCCAGCTGTGGATTGTTCATTGCAGTAAGACATACCCTGCCTAGGTGGCCTGTAAATCACAGTAGCAGGTGTAGTTCCCCCAGTCTCCAGCTAGTGCAGAGGATGCAGGGAGTGAATCCAGGCCTGCCAATCCCCACTATTCCCCACGGCCCAGTGAAGAGCTACTGGTGTCTTGGACCACCCCTCTTGCACAATCACGTTCTGCTCACGGACCGCACCATTGAGTACTATGACCCTTTCCATTCATTCTCCTGTTCCCCATCCTCATCTCCCTGTCCCCTTGCATCCCTCTCTTTTTGCCTCCATCTTCCCTTTAGTGTCTCCTCCATGCTCCTTTGCTCTGGCAAATCCTTCCCCACCACTCCAGTCCCATCTAATCCACTTCTACCCCACCAAACCTTAAAATACAATATCTTAATTTTTTAGAGAACAACTTTAAAGATGCTACGATCCCCAAGCAGGACATACATAGACCACAACCAAATCAAATTTGCCATCATGTACGTGCAACCCTTCTCCCTCCACTCTCCTACCCATTCTCTTCAATTTTGTCTTCACACTTCCCATCATCTCTTCATTTGGCTTGAAATATCCTTGGTGCAGGGACCCAGCAACTAGAATGCGTTGGGTGCCATATAAACAATCTGACCATAGGGAACAAAGTGAACAATTCCCAGGTAGCCCCAAGAAGTTTTCATAATAAATGGAATGAAATGACTATGAGCATTAAAGGATTTTGTTTTGTGAGAGTCTCTGGAAAATATGGATTTGGGTAGCCTGAATTATAAGAGAGAGTTTTTAATGCCAAGATTAGCTGTTAATACACACATCACTCCCCTATGTCATATGGAGCCAGGAGCCCTTCAACAAAACAAGCAGTGATTGGTTAGGTTTCCCAGCAGACCAATAATTAAAAAGCCATAGTCTTCTGGGCAGAGCAGCAGACTTGACAGGTCTAGATCTGCCAATTTTAATTCTAGTGCCTTAGAATATCCTGCTTCATGTGATGCAATGAACTGTTTAAATAAACCTACCAATCTTCATTGAGCCCATTGACTTAAATGGGGTCAGGATTTCAACCAGAGAACTTCCACTTAATGAAATCCACTCCCCACACAGAGAGTCAGCACTAGACTTGTGCCCCACTGAAGTCCCACTTAATTCTTCATTATAGGGTTTACAGGTTATTCAGTAGTGACTGGGCATTGTGCTGGCCTTCTGAAAAGGGGTGGATGCCACCCATCAATAACAAAATGTAACATGTACAGTGAGATGTGATCTACTCCCATTAAAGTAAATGAGACCAGGCTCTTGAGACTGCAATCTGGAGGGGAAGGTGTTTACACCAAAGTTGGTATTTGATGCTAATGATGGCATCTTGTTATTAAGTAACCTCATCTGTGACACTTGTAATACAGGAATTCAGAAACTGCAATAAATCCTCAATCCTGCTTAATGCTAGCAGTTTAACAACCCTAAAAAAAATCTCTGCATTAAATATCAAGAAAATGTTTTATTTTTAAACACCAATATTCTTCTTTTGAGGACATGTGGTACCTTTAAAATGGAGCAGCCAAGTTTTGAGTCTACTGTAAATGTGGATGTCAATGATATTATTATTGACAGGTAGCCACTTCAGGCAAATTACATGGGAACCAAGTTATCATGAACATAGGAAACTACCTTCAGAGGATGGGGACAGATGTTCATGGTAAATTAGTTGCTTCATAAATGCTATATCAGGAAACTAAGGATATAAAACTAAAGCACTTCCAGCAGAGAAAAGGTGATAGAACTGGGATGTGTGCAGTATAGGGAAGGATGAGGAGGGAGTTAAATTCCATATATATGTATTTAAAAAAAGAACATATAGTGTTTGATACCATTCTGATTATTTTCTTGTATTCCCAAGTACACTGAAATGTCTGGTTCATAAAAACTAAAATCAGTGGAACCCCCCCCCCCCAGCAAAAGTTACAAGCTTAGTTCTTAAAAGGGTTAGGGGGAGAACCACTCATGATTAATAACACAGAAATTCATCACTCAATTATAGCAATAAAAATGTGAAGAAAATTCCATTACCTGCCCATTCTCCCATTGACCGAAAGAAAGATTGAGGCAAAGCATTCCATATACGTGGGAAAAAATACTTCAAAAATCTAATGCATTTCACCAGAGTAAACAGACAAATTAGACCCCCAAAAAGAGTGAGAAGTTGCTGTTGGAACTCTTCCATTGTGAACAGATCCAGTGAGCTTGGATGAAATACCAACACTATCTTCCCCTTAACTGCCTCCTAGCTCACTTCTACTCTCTGAGCATTGGCAGAGAAGTGTACAGTCTAATCAAATCCACTGGGTCATGTGATTTTTTTTTTCCCCACTGAGTGCCAAGGGTTTAGATTAAAGTAATTTCCCTATACTACACTCAGATTGGTAAATTACTGGAAAAAATAAAACCAAACTAGGATTTCTAATACCTGTTTTAGACAAGGTTCCTTTTTTGGGAAAACATCCAGGAACAAAAAAGAATTTTCATAGAGACTAAAGATGGGCCTAACCCAAAACCCTGGATGAGAACACCTTCAAATTTGGGGGACATTCACATCCAGATCTTTTGCTGCTGGACAAACTAAAATCTTCGATGCAGACACCTCAAAATATTGGGCATATTCATGTTGAACTAGGATCCTACTCTGTGGCCTGGTCTCTTCTCTAAATTCCCAGACAAAAACCTCTATGTTAAATTGCTTTTGAGGTTGAGAGTATATCAGTAACTTAAGGATAAGAAATATACAAGAATGATGTAATTATACCAAGAAGAATCACTAGAAACATAGAATATTCAGGGTTACGTTTAAACTTATTATAAAGCCAAACATGTTAAAGTATGGAAATACACACTTAAGGCACTCAGACAACCTTAACTCTCCTCTGTAGCAACAACATGAAGGGAAAAGAAATGAAAAACCAATCTTTAAATGTCAGTTTCATCTAATTTGGGACCAGAAACATCAAACTGCATTAATCATATGCTTATTACAGAGCAGAATAAAGGTTGTTTATGTACCGGAACTATGCATTTACATATTTTAACTTGCATGGATTACTTTCAAATTTTAAAACTCTTTTAGCCAAATAATCCTGGCATGTGCATAGTTCCCCTCACACTGCTGACTTTTCGCCAAGAGAATTGCAGTATGCAGATTAGTTAAAGAGAAAAGGTGATGATTGATCACAGTGGTCTTACTGCAGGCCCTGTCTATTAGTTTCTAATTAAAACAATAACAATAATTAATAATTTCACTTAATTGCAACCTGATTTCTTCAAAGGTAAACTGTGCATGAGATTCCAGTGAGTTTTACCAAAATGGAAAGTTTGAAGTGTTTGATATTTGTGTTATTCCACAATTCAGATCATTCTCAAAAACAATCTGAGTGCTAAATTTCCTAAAGTACTCCTTTTTTAACTACTTGCAACTCAAAATTATTAAAAAATACTTGCAATTTCTCATGAAATTCATTATGTACTCAGAGTGCTGTAAGTTTGGAGAGGATAAAGTGTTCTTCATACATAACAAGGAGATTGAATCCCTTCTTTAAGACAAAATCTCAGTACAACTTTGACTTTGGAGTTGCCACCAGAATCTCCATAACAACAGATGGAAATTTTTTATCAAGACTATCTCCCTACCAAAGCAGATTGTTTTCTACAGTATATTCAAGTACATAAAAGGTTGTTACAAGGAGGAGGGAGAAGAATTGTTCCTCTTAACCCCTGAGGATAGGACAAGATGCAATGGGCTTAAATTGCAGCAAGGGAGGTTCAGGTTGGACATTAGGAAAAAGTTCCTGTCAGGGTGGTTAAGCACTGAAATAAATTGCATAGGGAGGTTGTGGAATCTCCATCATGGGAGATTTTTAAGAGCAGGTCAGACAAACACCTGTCAGGGATAGTCTAGATAATACTTAGTCCTGCCATGAATTTAGGGGACTAGACTAGATGACCTTTTGAGGTCTCTTGATTCTATGATATTCTATTGATTCATACACTCATAGATATTAAGGTCAGAAGGGACCGTTATGATAATCTAGTCTGACCTCCTGCACAATACAGGCCACAGAATCTCACCCACCCACTCCTGCAATAAACCTCTCACCTATGTCTGAGTTATTGAAGTCCTCAAATCATGGTTTAAAGACTTCAAGGTGCAGAGAATCCTCCAGCAAGTAATCAGTGCCCTATGCTATAGAGAAAGGCCTCTTACAATCTGCCCTGGAGGAAAATTCCTTCCCGACCCCAAATATGGCAATCAGCTGAACCCTGAGCATGTGGGCAAGATTCACCAGCCAGATACCCAGGAAAGAATTCTCTGTAGTAACTCAGATCCCACCCCATCTAACATCCCATCACAGGCCATTGGGCCTATTTACCATGAATAGTCAATGATCAATTAATTGCAAAATCATGTTATCCCATCATACCATCTCCTCCATAAACTTATCGAGTTTAATCTTGAAGCCAGATAGGTCTTTTGCCCCCACTGCTTCCCTTGGAAGACTATTCCAGAACTTCACTCTTCTGATGGTTAGAAGCCTTCGTCTAATTTCAAGTCTAAACTTCCCGATGGCCAGTTTATATCCATTTGTTCTTGTGTCCACATTGGTACTGAGCTTAAATAATTCCTCTCCCTCCCCGGTATTTATCCCTCTGATATATTCATAGAGAGCAATCATCTCTCCTCTCAACCTTCTTTTGGATAGGCTAAACAAGACAAGCTCCTTGAGTCTCCTTTCATAAGACAGGTTTTCCATTCCTCGGATCATCCTAGTAGCCTTCTCTGTACCTGTTCCAGTTTGAATTCATCCTTCTTAAACATGCTGTCTTTCTTGCTGACAGATCTGGAACATGAGCCTCAGTACTCTTAGGGTCTAGTTCCAGCTCTGCCAATGACTGACAGTGACCTTGGGGATTTCCCTTTTCTGGGACTCAGTTTACAACAACTGTTTACAGGTTGTACTGTCAGAAAGTGTCTCCCGATATTCAGCATCAGTTTTCCTTTTCTTGCTCTCATCCAATTACTGCTAATACTATGACAATCAATTCTTATCCATCCTTGATCTTTACAACCTATAAATATTTGTCCAATTATAATGTCCTTCCTTACCCAGTCACTGCTTATCCAAGCTCTGTGTACAGAATCTTTCCCTACAGTTACCTAAACATGTGGCCTGATTTTCAGACGTGCTAAGCATACAGCTGCTTAACACTTTGGAAAAATCAGGCCATTTGTTTAGGTACCTAAATATGGACTTAGAAGCCTAAAATTGGGCACCTATTTTTTAAAATCTTGGCCTGTCCGCAAAAAGAGAAAGATTAGAGCAGTGAGTTCTAAGAGTTTACAAAACACCTTAACGCTTGGTTAAAACAACCTATGAGTTTGTATAAAACTAAGAGTAGGGTTATCTACTAGTGTATGGCAAGAGACATTAGAATTAGTTTTGATATAGTAAATGGATACTTTGGGGTGAGATATGTAAAGTTACCAATATCTGTCAAAATAATTCTGAATTTAATTAGCATTTCAATAATTCAATATTTGTTTACATTTCTAACTTAAGAATTACATTTGATTGAACAGTCCCTGACATTCCTGTAGCTTTCACTGATCTAAAACTTGACTGGCAAATGGATAAGCACTAGAATTAGGGATAAAAATTTTCTATATAGAAAGAAAATAGTAGATTATTGTTTGCCACTGTGTGATTAGATTTGGGATTTGATTTCTTCTTGATAAGTTTTGACATCCTACATTATTGTCTTAATTTCTTAATGATCTTTTACATCTACTTTGATTAAGAAAACATACATATGTATAAGAATGATCAAGGTTTGTATTTTAGCTAAGCAACCCAAAATTCAAAGCCTTTATCAGAAGCCTGGTATGCACAATTGGCTAATTAAAATTACTTCAGCTATGATTATGTGTTTTTTTACTGTAATGCATTTGACCTAGGGTTCACTTGTGACTTAGAAGTATCTTCCCTCTGCACCCAATAATAAAAATACAAAAATAGTAACAATAATTTCATTTATGTATTTACAAGCATACAGCAAACAATATTGCAGAATTAAGCCACATACCAAGTTGAACATAGCTGTTTTCCTTGAGGGTCTCTTTCTAAGTGTGCCTCATTTCAGTAGGTACAATTGCTAAACATCAAGCAGTGCTGTAATCCCACTTCTGTGCTAACCCTCTGATTATCGGTGAAAGCCATCCTGCCACCTACTTAAAGTTGAATTGTCAGGTAGTTTAGGCCCCAAAATTCTGGTGGTAGTGGTGGGGCAAAGGAAGTTTTACTAGACACCGGGAACAGAAAAATGTTCAAGAATTTTTTAAAATATAAAAGAAAACATTTTTAAAAATTAAAGTATTTCCCTGAATTGGCAGAATTGTACTAGATCATAATAGCCAGAAAGTAAAAGTGAAAGTGATGAACATGCTTTCAAGTAGTAGTATACCAAGTCACACTCTGAGACTTTTGGGGTATGTCTACACTGCAACTGAAAACCTGTGGCTGCCCTGGGTCAACTGACTCGAGCTCACAGGGCTCAGGCTAAGGGGCTATTTAATTGTGAAGCAGACATTCAGGCTTGGGCTGCAGCCCGAGCTCTAGGACCCTCTTCACTCACAGGGCCTAGAGCACAGGCTCCAGCCTGAGCCCGAAGGTCTACACTGCAGTTAAACAGTTCCTTCGCCCGAGCCCAGGTCAGCTGTCATGGGCCAGCCGCAGGCTTTTAATTTTAACCTCCATGCACTGTAGGAGTGTCCATGTGGGACATTACTGTGCAATCAACTTAGAAACTGTGGATCCACACCCTGGTTTACTGCACAGTAACCTACCAGGTCAACAAGCCCTAAGGGAAATTAGTTTAACCAGAAAACAAACAAACAATCTAGTCATAGCTGCTTTCTGGATTGGGATATGAAAGGTAGAATTACAATATGGGCTTGGTCATGGTATGTAGCCTCAACTGCAGACAGTGGAAGTGCAGGGCTGCATCACCCAGCAGGAGTGATGAACGATATTGTATCTCTAGCAGGCAAAATACCTTGCACAGCTAGAAAGAGACCAACTGTACCACGTTTGGGGAAGGTGCAGTGTCTCTGCTCTCCTCATTTTCGAGACGCTTGCCCTAACGACAGTACAGGTCCTGGGAATGCAAGGATGTGTTTGATCTTGAGTGGGGAGAGGCTCTTTGCTCTCCAGTCTAGATGTAGGGCTGGCAGAAAAGGGTTATACAGTACCTGTGAGAATTTGAGGTAATTTTCAGTTTCATGCTAAAAACTATTCATCAGCAGGTTAAATACCCTGCAAAAAAGATTTCAACAATCAAGCAGCATGGCTTATATTTTAAATTAAGTTAGCAAATACACTGACTAGAGATGGACCAGAGTCCAAATGCTGCATCTAACACCCCCAACCTGTGGGGTTTAAAATCCAAACCTGGCTCTGGTTTTTGCAAATGGCCTCCGTTTTTCTAGGCTGAAACACAACCATGGAAACAAATGCCTCCCAAACTTCAGGGGATGTTTTAAATCTACATTCATAATACATGGTTCTCTAATACTAACAAAATACCAGGGTGTTGTTTGAACATTATAATGATAAAACGGCATTTCAATACTTGTTCTGCTTTTCTTTAACAGTTCACAGAATGGAGATGGAAAGATCACATACTGGTTTCTGGATTAGGGCTTGTCTGCACAGGGAAATTTGCTGGGATAGCTATGCCAATATAATAATACCAGTATAGTGAAACTTATTGACTTAGCTGTGTAGACAAGCTCTTAGGCCGTTCTTTGAACTGTTCAAAATGCAGTGGTTTCACTTTACAAAGCTTCACACAAACACTATTTTTGGTTTGATCCACACAGACCTTAGAAAGGAAATGGATAAATGGGGGCATGAAGCATACGATACACTCCCGTTTATTTGACTGGCCTGGGGTACATCCAAAACTTTCAGATAACTGGGCATTCAGATTAACAGAAATGCTATTCTGAGCTGCAGTTTCACAGATACAGAAATACAGGGAACACAGGCAGTAATGCTGATATTTCTAGGGGTAGAAATGCTGCAGCTGTGCCACTATAGTGCCATAGTGTGGATGCTTCCTATATCAACAGAAGGGATTTTTTCCATCTATGTAGTTATCCACCCCTCCGAGAGGCAGTAGGTAGATGGATGGAAGAATCCTTCTGTTGACCTAGCCACGTCCACATAGGGGAGTAGGTTGACCTAACTACGGTGCTGAAGGCATGACAATTTTCACAGCCCTGGGCAATGTTGCTAGGCTGACCAAGTTTTAGGTGTAGGCCAGGCCTAGGATCTTGAGAATGTGTACTTGCTGCTTGAGATCCTAACACACACACATATTTTTTTTTTACATTGTCCTGCCAAGCTGTGCAAACAAGATTAGATCTCACTAGCTGCAATAACCACTAAGAACCGCTATGCAGATATAAAGCTGTTGAGTAGTGCTAGCGGGTGTTAAGAGGCTAATTGAGAACTTATCAGTGGGTGATTCACTAAGATAGAGCTACATGGGGGGGCCACACTGTGGATTCGGATAAACTAGGATTTTTTGAAAAATGGTATTTGGATAACTGGAATTATACTGTATAAAAGAGCAAGTTGTATAGAGAAGGTAGAGCGGGGCTTCTGTTCTCCCTATCTCACAACACGAGAACAAGGGGACAGTGAATGAAACTAAAAAGGTGGGAAATTCAAACCAATAAAAGGAAATACTTTTTTCACACAACACCTGATTTGAGCTGTGGAACTTCTTGCCGCAGGAAGTCACTGTGGCCAAGAACTTATGATTCAAAAAGAGAGTGGATAATTACATGGCTATCAAGAATATCCAGAGTTATAATTAATGACAAACAAACATTTAGGAACTTTTTGCTTCAGTGCTTAAGCCAACCTCTATCTATTAGAGATCAGGGTGAGACCGGCAGATATCCCACATTTGCAGACTGTGGGATTCTGACAACTTCCTCTGAAACATTTGGTACTGGCCACTGTCAGAGAGGATACTGGACTGCTGCTGACTCAGAATGCCACTTCCTATGGTCCACATGGGTTTGCACTCCCCAAGTTTTGCTGAGTTTGAACCTCAAATCTCAAACTGAAACTCAGTCAATCAATACTATCCAGATCTACCTGGTTCCATGTCAAAATCTTGTGAAACTTCAACACTTCTCATGATTTCAACAGAAAATCATAACTTGGCTCGTGCATATCTGAAATTGAGAACCCTAATAATCACTGTACACCCCATGGCACCATCTGAGGATTTCAAATGCTTTGTAAAAATTGATGAACTTAACTATATGATGTAGGTAAATATATATTTTCTGCCTTTTCAGATAAGAAAAGACAGACAGCAGTTATATTATTGTCCAACATCTATGACAGAAGCAAGAACAGACCTCAGCTCACCCAATTTCAAGTTTGTACTTCAACTACTGGACTATCCTCCCCTCCTTAGTGAATCTTTGGGAACACAGTCTGAGTTTAGAATACAGAACAAAACCAGATATTCTAGATGATTTCAACTATTATTATGTACATGGTACACCGTGGAACATCAACAATTCTGCATCAATGAAACATTATTGCTTAAAGTCAGTCTTCAGTGTGCCATTGATTTTTTTCTGCTCCAGTCAGTGCACAGTAATTGCATTTGCTCTGTATTGTTCCAAGCTACGTGCTGACAAACAATGTGCAGAGGGGAACCTTTGATATCTAAGTATGCATACCTGAACAGAAATGAATTTCCCTTTCTGGTCTCTCTCAGATTTTTCCATGCAGTACTGGCTAATCAGCCAAGGTATTTCTCTTTAAACAATAAATATTTCACTCGCTGCCCTTCTCTTCCTTTCATTTGATCCAGCAGAAAGTCAGAATAATCCACTTATGACAAAACAATCATGATTGTGGCAACAGACTGTGATACCACAGAGGATGATAGCTTCTTTGAAAGAATGAAGCAGAGAATTGGTAGGATAAGAGAGAACTCCTTTTTCAAAACATACTGGACTGTACCCTGAGTTCCTTATTCAGTTTTCAATCACTCCTTATACAGGAACACCCAGGATTCAAGTATCAGAGGGGTAGCTGTGTTAGTCAGTATCCACAAAAACAATGAGGAGTCCGGTGGCACCTTAAAGACTAACAGATTTATTTGGAAGAATCCTTTCTGGGTAAAAAACCCTACTTCTTCAGATGCATGGAGTGAAAATTGCAGATACAGGCATAAATACAGTATATTGGCATATGAAGAGAAGGGAGTTACTTTACAAGTGGGGAACCAGTGCTGACAAGGCCAATTCAGTCAGGTTGGTCCACTCCCAATAATTGATGAGGAGGTATCAATAACAAGAGAGGAAAAATTGCTTTTGTAGTGAGCCAGGATCCAGTTGTGCAGTCATTTATACTAGTGCAAAGTGGGTGTAAAACCATTTTGATTTGGTAGCATTGTACACCCTCTTTGTAGGTGTAAATAAGTCCACAAGGTACATGTAGCAGGGTGGTCACACCGCTCCAGGCCTGAAAGGGTTAAAAGCCAGCCCTTGGAGAGGGCTGGGGCTGAGAGCCAACCAGGAAAGGCTACGAGGCAGCTAATCAGGGCCAGGCTGGGCCCTATAAAAGGGCTGTAGGGCCAGAAGGCAGTCAGTCTTTCTCCAGCCTTGGAGAGAGATGGATCTGGCTGCCTGAAAGAGGAAAAGGGTACCCTGAACAGTGTAGTGCTGGGGAAGGACAGGAGGAGCTGGGGGAGCTCTGGCCTGGCAAATCCCCAGGCAAAGGCCTTGCTGTCAGGGCCCTGTAGGGCTGGTATAAAAAGGACTGTGATCTAGGAGGCAGGCAGTCTTACTTCAGCCTTGGGGTGGGAAGGACCGGGCTGCCTGGAAGCACAGGGTACCTTCAACAGAGCAGTGCTGGGGAAGGGGCAGGCTGAGCTGGAAAGCTCAGGCCTGGTGACCTCCTAGGCTGAGGCCTGACAGGAAGGCCTGAGGTACAGGGGCTGCAGGAAAAGAGAGCAGGTCCAGCCCCCTAGCCAATGATGAGTGGCCATTGCACACTGCAGTTTGCCCCTGCGTAAAGGGGCTAGATGAAGACTGGCAGTGGGTCACTGAGGTGAGGTGGGCTCAGGGGAGTGGGGTTCTCTGGGTGAGGGGCAGCACCCCAAGATAAGGGGCACTGTGGTCTGAGAGGGAGTGAGGCCTATATGTGGTGGAGATAAAGGGACTGCAGAGAATAGGTAACAGAGGGCGAGCCACCGGCCCATAGATAGTGCTCCAGTCCTGAGAGAGCTAATTCCTGGACGACCAGCAAGAGGTGCCACGCTGGTGATCTGCTACAGTACTGGACAGAAATGAATCAAGCCCCCATTGTCTTTGTGGGAGTTTTGCCTCACAAGGATTGATGAAAACTGAGCAAGAAATTTAAGATTTGGCTGAGTACAAATATTGTCAATAGCAAGAATAAAGACGGTCACAACTAGCCAATTACTTTGGATAGATGTTCCCATATTATAAGTGAAGCTTGGTTATAAAACAAAAATAAGTTGTGACGCTGTGTGTAAGAACACTTCTGAGCCTATAAGATGTGTGTGCACAATGGTTACTGAGGTAGTTTTTTCTCATTTCAGATACATTCCTGCTGCAGGTGCTTGATTAACTTTGTGGCAGTGCTGTTTAGTGGGCTTGCATCTTCACTGCCTTTCACATTATTCATTTTTGCTAGCTCTTTGAATCAAGACATGTTTTCTTCATCTGTAGGCTGCTTAGGTTTCTTGTGGTCTCGTAATATTAAAAATGAATATCTCAGTCCTCCTGCCATGCTAAAGAAGAGAGAGCAGACACAGGATCAGGGATACTTGCTGACAAAAATCATATATACATATAACAACTTTCCTTCCAAAAGATTTCAAAGTGCTTTACAGACAGAGAGCCAGATTCTCAGCTGGTGTAAATTTATATAGTGTAGAGCTACACTGATTTACATGAGCAGAGAATCTGGCCCTGACTATATGGGGGAAATCAATAAATAACCACTCTATAGCACCCATATGGGGTGGGATGCAGGTAACACAACAGATTTTAAGAACTGGAAATGAAGAATGATTACTCCTACTGAAAGTACACCATCCTGGCACACAGATTCAGTAACAAGTCACAGGAATGAGCACATCTCATTGAATCAACATTCCCATTTCCTGCAATACTTGGAGTTTCCTTAGATGGCTTCTCCCCAAACTGACAAGACCCACCTCTGCTCATAAAAACTAATGAGCTACAGCTCCCAGTAGTAAAATGGTAGGCATATCTACACAAGTACAATCTTAACATGACAAAATAAATATACAGAAACAAACATAAATAGACATAAAAATTAGAACTGATCCGAATGAATTTTACATCCTGAGGCAACATCTAGCACTTGCCCAGTCACAGGTTTCACAATTACCTCAGCCAAATTGGCCAGCTGAAACAAAAACAAACTAGTCCTCATTAAGGAATAGTTTCTCAGTTTCACCCAATGAAGATCATTCAGATTTCACTTACCAAATATTTAGCCCTATAAAGTTTAATATAGAGAATATGTAGTCTCCACCAACCAACATTCCAATATAAGCGATGGATATATTCTGAAAAGAAATTAAAAGCCATGCATTTACTAAACAATTTTAGCCTCTGAGATCTTAAATGTCATCAAGTCAATTTGCTTTTGAACACGTTTAGCTGTTCTCACTTCAAAAACTATTACTAAAATCAGTTTCACAGTGTGGCAAGTTTACTGATAATGTAAAAACAATAATATATAATAAACATTCATCATTTTCCCAAATATGGGACAATTCACTACAAGCTGATTCGGGTAGAATGTTTTTGAAGGACCGGAAATTCCAAGGACTATTTCTTTAATACTTTGCTATGTCCCTTTTTTGCAGGGTACATTTTCAGCTGAGCCCAACCTCTCTTTTTCAGGTGAAAATCTCAGCATCTGTGTCTATAGCTTCTTGATTTATGTCTGCAATTGTGTAGAAGTGCAGGTATTCATATTTGCACTGGCTATTCAACTGTAGGCACAAATTGTCCCTCTCTCCCCCCAAAAATGGATGCTACTTTTTGCGATATAAGGAGGGTTCCTCTTCACAGCAAAATGGTGTATTCTTAACTCAGGTTAAAATAGCAGTGAAGATGCAGCAGCAACTCAGCCTTTAATTTGGGCTAGAAGCTCAAGTTCAATGCTAGCCTCCCCTTTAGGCTCTAACTCGCACTGCTAACCTGAGTTAAAAGCTAAATCGCCATGTTTTCACTGCCATTTTAAGTCAAGTTCGCTAACATGGATTAGGTAGGCTAAGCACACATTCTTTCTCGCAGTGAAGACATACTCTAGGATTCATTTCACCTCCAATTTCCTGAAAATAGGTCTCATGTCCTCCAAAAAAGGGTGGGTGGGGAGGGGGGAGGAATGTTGGAAAATAAAATAAAAATGATTTATTGTTGTTCTACAAGGTTCAGTGTTTTGCTCTGCAGAATTAAAAGGCAGTCAGACCATTTGGCTGTAGGTCAATATGAACACATCTTTTAATAAAAAAAAATTTAAGTTTCAAAAAATGAATTTTTTTCCTGGAGACAGAAGGAAAGGTATTATGCACTGTGCTCATTTTGCCAACACTTTTGTTTCACAAGTTTTGGCATCTAGTACGGTCAATGACCTTGTTTCTCTTCGGAGTTAGAGTCACTAAGTGCCTTTCAAAATTCAAAAAACCTTTCAGAAATTAGTTATGCTATTTTTATTTAGTCATTGTCTTCTTTCGTGTGGCTTAAAACAGAAATGTTAGCTATCCAAGTCTCAACTGGCGATCCAATTAATTGCTTCACGTGACATAGAATGGATGGCAGAGATAGGATCAGATCATTTGGGACATTAATTGATGATGTGTTCCCTAATTTGAAGTCCGTTTCCACAGTCACAAATAGGATTGCATCTAAGTCCCCATCTATGGGGAAGGTAGGAGCATCTGCCTTGTGATGTGTGGATATCATTCAAAGTGGACCATATTTCCTAGGGGAGTGAAAAACCACTGGGTCCTTGATGAAGTGTTTGTTCAGGACTTTGGCATCCTTCCACCTTGCTCACCAGTGATTTTCCAGGGAAAATCCAAGTCTTCGGAGCTCTTGCAGTGCAAGCCAAAAAGATTTAGTAGATTTGAGTCAGAATTTCGGTATGTTATTTGCATCTTCATGTATTGGAAGATCCTTGTTCCCTTGAATATGATGGAATGCATAAAGGATTCTTATGTCACTGCAAATTTGGGGTGGGTATATGTGAATCAGTACAGAAAGCCATGGCTGTGGCATTGATTTTACTGTGCCTGTAATGATTTGCATTTATTTAGTTATTTTCTGATTTGTAAGGTGCCCTACCCAGATGTCTCAGGGCACATGTACAAAATTTAAAACAACAATGCATGGATCATATCTGAGAGATAGGGTTTCCACTTCAATGCTTGCCAGAATTAGAAAAGAAAACATTCAGAAGACAGCGACTTCAATCTTCCTCTGACAAATTTAAACATGTTGGAGCCATCCAACTGGGGCTTCTCTAAGCTTTTGCAGCCAGTCCGACCAAGGCCATTCTAAAGGAGATGCTTAGGATGTTCTCTCCTTTGTTGAGACTGAGAACCATTTTAACAGGCTTTTTTTTTTTTTTTTTTTTTTTTTTTTACCAGTACTCTTCTTTCATTTGACAACTCTTGTGTTCTCCTCCATGAATTGGCTGGTAAGAGGTGCTTGTGAAGTCAGTGACCTTCTCACATGGACACTCAGGCCTTATCTACATGAGGGAGTTGCATTTTTGTTATTTTAAATTGGTTTAGTTAAACAATGCTTTGTTTGTATTATCCTAAGTCAATTAGGAATCAGTTTAAGATAAACCAAAATAAGTCACTCAAACTGAAATAAATGTGTTCACACAGGAGCTTGCATCAGATTAACTAAATCAGTTTAAAATCAGGTCTTTAGTTACACTGGTGCAGCTTTATCAAGCAGCCAAGGCCTGAGTCATGTTCATTTCTACAATACATCTGAGCTTCACTTAGTTCTGGGAGAAATTATACTCATTCTCCTAATGTGGATCTCCTGTACTGACAAAATGTAGCACTGCCACCAAGACATGGATTAGCCATTTGTTGAGTTTCCAGCTCATACAGACACTCACAACATCAGCAAGACACTTGGTGACTGAATACTCTTCACCATCTGAATATTCTTCACTATTCCAATGTTCTCACTCTTTTTTCCTGCTACCACTTACCTTGAATGCACCAACCACTGATGTCGTAAGTGCAGAATTGTAATGGCTGCACAGGACCACAGAATACGTTAAGAGAAACCTAAGGCGAAGAAACAAATCTTAGTAAATTCATTCCACATTAATCTATTAAACAATTCTGCATTACACAATGGTATTCCAGTTAATCAAAAGTAAAAGGTTTATGACTTTTAAAGTAAAAAAACATATGACTGACACTGGGTTACGTTAAATACAATACAGAATAGCCCCACTTCAGTGTGACCCAGGATAGTGAGGTTTACATTAGCACTTCTAGTGCTAAATTGTGCTACAGCTTCTTTTATAGAGATTGTGTTTCTAGCTCTGTCCATAGGTTTGTGGACTACCCCTAAACTGACCTAGGCCCCTAAATGATCCTTCAAGGCATTGACAGCTTCTAAGAGACGCTAAGCATCCTTATCTCTTATTAACATTAATGGGGGTCTAGGATGCTCCTGAGCACTTTGAAGTGCTCAGGACCTTGCATGATCAAAGCCCTACTGAAATCCTCAAACTTATCAGTTCCTTAAAAGTGCATTTAACATTCTGAAAAAACAGCTCTAAAAGAAGACATAGTAGGGTTATGGTTTAGTTTCTTTTAATGACTCCCATACCAAATTTTTTCAGATTACAAGTCTAAAATTTATTTTTATAAATGTTAGCTGTACAAGCCCCACCCAAGATACGCATCAGGCTGTATCTTCTCTGCCTCTTAAATCACTACCCGTAGTACCAATTTCGTTACGTGTGCTTACTTGACGCTGGTTGGTGATGAGGTAAGACACAATAGAATCCAGCTCACTTTCCTATATTTTTATTTGCTCTGCTAACTGTAGCAAAGGCTCATGTTTTATTCACATTCAGAATTTTTATAGCACCCAGATTGTGCTAGGTGCTTTAAAGAATAAACAAACATGGTTCCTGCCCTAAAGAGTATACAATCTATAAAACTCAGTGAAATAAACTCATAATTTGGAGAGAGGTGACATTTTAGATTCATGTTTCTGACCACCACAGTTAAAATAAAAGATAAATATAAAAATGCCAGCAAGTGTTCTGATAATAGTCCATGTTCTTAGAAATCTCCTGAGCTTTACCATCTTACATTTCAATGAAGTACTTTCTCCTAGAAATTCCCAGAGAACTATCTTGAGGATTTACTGTTTTCTGCCTAACTAACTACAATTTCTGAGAGATGAAATAAAATTGCTGCCAAAACCTCTTCATTTATCATGGCCCTTCTTACCCCAAGAAGCAGGAGAGAAGAAACTGAAAGAGAAATAAAAAGTTTGTCCAATGCTTGAAATCTGTGACCTATTAAAAAGAAAGAAATATGCAATTAAATACGGTATAATTAAATATATACTTTCATGGAAACATTGTTAAAAATGAAAATGTTCAAAATAACAAAAACAACGGATTACAAATCACGCTAGTATTATGGAGGGTTTATATTCACATGGGAGATAGTTTTATACATTTAGCCGGCTAACAGCCCAACTGATTTATAACGTATTCTTTAATTTTGTCTGTTATAGCAATCTTTACAGAGCAGTCACATTTGACTGCATGTTGCAAACACTATGCAACAAATGAATAATTCTTTATACAGAATCTTGGTTTGAACTCTCATTCACGGATGCTCTTGCCTAATAGTGCATATCATTAATATGCAACAAACTAGAATTTACACTAAACTAGTGAAAGGATAAAGAATTAAACCTTCTCCAGAAAAGACACCTATTCTATATCAATGTATTGCATATTTACAGCTTTTAGGGCCTAATTCTGCACCTACTGAAAGCAAAGGGATCATTGCTACAGGTATTACTGGATACAGGATCAGACCCTAATCCTTCTTTTCAGTGAGATTTTACAAACTAGTGTGTCTTTTAGAAGGTTTTCAAGCATGAGATTAGATATAAACAGCTCTGGATCTAGTCCCCTCTCTGCCACAGGCTTCTGATGTGACCCAAGGCAAGTCACTTAACCTGCCTGGGCCTCAATTTCTGCCTGTACAGCTGGACATGATAATTCTTAATCTTACAGGGGTGTTTTGTGACTAAAATATGTAAATATTTGTAAAGCACTAGAGGAGATCCTTGGATAGAAGGGACTACAGCCCCAATCGTGCAAATCATCCTTATTCATGTAATTAGACCCATTCTACTCAACCCACATAAGGACTATTGACAATTCAATGGGACTACTCATATGAGGAAGTGTTTGCTGGATTCAGCATGCAGATACAATATAATTTAGAGGGGGAGAAAATCTTAACCTTTGGAAACTTCCTCAACAATTAGAATACCCCACCCTCTTTTATGCTACCTTTTACAGATGTAAACCAGGGATTGGTTTTCATAAGTGGAGTTAAGATCCACACCTTCTTTTACAGGCATACTTACTACATGTTGCATACAAAGCGGGAATTTACTCACATACAAGCAGGCAGGCACCTGCTAGCCTTGTTTACATGCAGTTCTCCAGTTACTGGGCACAGATGGTAAATGTGCATGCAAAGAAGGACTGCAGTTTGGCCTCTCTATATTTTGAAAATCAGACCCCGCAAGTGACTTGTTTGGATTCTTAGCTGTAGCTGCTTTGGGAATTAACAATAATTTGTTTGATCTTCTGTCCTTTCAACACCCATTATGCACAGCTGTACGAAAGGGAGGGCTAGCTATACTGAACACTCATTTTTCTACCATTTTCACATATGGGTGTTGGGCAATATTTTCTTGGAAGTGCACATGTTTTTGCCTTTGAGGTGAAAAGAAGCCCTGACTCTGCTCCCTAAAAAGATGCAATTGTGTGTCGTGTGGGGAGATCAAAACTCTCGCTTATGTTAACAAGATTTGTTCCCAGTGTGCAGGGGCAGGACTACTCTGTATCTCAAAAATTTCATTCATCTAGTCAAACAAAAGGCTCATATATCACTCTGAAGGTTGTTCCTTGGGAAGAAACACAACTAAACACAAAATTCACATATCAGTCTCTACTAAATGTGTCAATAAGATTCATTTGCATTAATTTTGATGATAAACTGGAATCATGATTGTTACAGTTACTGAAGAGACTTCATTTCTGTTTTGTTAGTTCATACTCCACTAACAATTAATCAGCCAGCTGTGTTAAGGACAAATTAATAACAGACACTCCTAGATTACCTCTTCCTCACAGCAGCCTAATGGGATGCTTTACTCTACCAGATCTGTATGAGTCAGCAGGAGTGGGAACAGTTTCCATTCCACACAGATTGAACACAAATATTTTGTTTGGCATGTGGTTGTTTCTTCGGATTACAGGGCACAGACTGCACAGTGCCTATGTTGGATTACAGCAGAAAACCTTGTAATGTAGCACCAAAGCAACAAAAATTTCTGTTATATGACAACCAGGTAAAAACAGGTATCTCCCTTGATCTACAGATCATTCATCAATGTTTCTACATTACCATGGCATTTTCCATTATTTGAAGTATATTCATCATGCTGGGTCAGCTACACAAGTGTCTCTTATTCATAGTAACGGAACTTAATTCTAATAGGTACAAATATGTGTTCTCAATAGCCATGATATATTTGTGGGGCGGGGTCTTTTTAAAAACAAACTGTGCATGAAATTGCTTGTGAAAGGTGCCAGAGCAACAGCCCAGGACAATGAAATCCTTGATTTATTCACAGAACAAGCATAGCACAGACTGCAGCAGAGCAGACTTCCTCATGCATTCCCAACAAAATGCCTCAACCCTGCTTACAGGGATCACATCTAAGTGTGAGAGAGCAGTTCAATCCCTATAACCACATAAGCTTAGGCTCCACTAAGACTGCTAACCAAGGCCCTGGTAAGTTGTGTTTTTTGTGATGGGGACACAGGTTCACTGGACTGAAGCCACAAGATGATGTTTTGCACAGAGGACTGAACTAAGCCATAATATATTTGTAGTGGGTGACAATGTTCCAGTTAACTGCAGAATTTTAAGAACACAGCAGTATGAATGACACAAAAAACTAAGTGTCCAACATGCAGCAAAGAACAATGTAATGAATAATAATAAATATTAATGATAATACATAAACTCTTATATAGCACTTTCCAGCTGTAGATCGCAAAGCACTTTACATAGGAGGTCAGTATCATTAACCCATTTTACAGATGGGGAAACTGAGGCACAGAGCAGTGACAATGTGACTTACCCAAGGTCATCCAGCAGGCCACTGGCAGAGCCAGGAATAGAATGTGGGTCTCCAGTGCTCTATCCACTGTGCAACACTGCCTCCACTGATGTGCTATAATTATCTATGAAGGGCCACTGAGCTATCATGGGTTTATAACTAAGTTATATGTAGGCCACAAGTGGAAATGGGGTCTAGCTAACTCTGAATATTCTCTCTTTGATAGAAGACTAGATGGCATGGAAGTTGCTTGCTTTGGCTACTCTCAGCCTCATTTTAGAGCATTTGGCAAAACTGAAAGCTCATATAAATCACATGACACAGCTGGGACCTTATTTTGGGCACACTAATTCCAGCTGCTATTCATTAGTCATTAGTAAGTTTTACACACTGACTGGAAGAGGACTAGTAATATGGCTAAGGACCACTAATTATAGTAAGGGTTTGCAGGATCTTTCTGGTGAAGAGAAAGCCCAAGCTATATGGAATCCAAATGCTGGCCTCCAAATAGAGGGGAAGGTGCCTTGTAAAAATCCATGAAGCAGAGAGTCAAAATGAGAGATACTGAGAGCAGTAATCTCATAATTCTAACTGTAATGGGAAAAGGTCAAAAGGAAAGACTGTTGTGCTAATTAAGGTAGCTTTATTTGTTCTTTATCATGGAGAAAAAATGAGAAAGTGAATTTACCATGTGATTGCTCATCACTTTATGTCGTTGAACTTCACTACATTCCTAGCTGGCTGAAAAATTCATGGCCACAACATAGCTGGACTAACATCATGTGCAATCCGAATGAAATTAACAGGATTGACCAGGGATGTAGTTCTGTGCAGAAGGTGGCCCTAAATTTGGAGAACGGGGCTAGAGCATTTTGTTTCAAGGAACTCTAGATACAGCAAAATAACTAAAAGGGGTGAAATAATTAGGGTAGTGTACTAGTGTAAGATGTCTAACGGTGCTGCTCACCTGCTGAAGGTCTCCAGTGGAGAAGCTAAGAATCATTGTGGGTATCACCATAAAATAAGCATTATAGAAAAGGACTCCATATGTTCCCAGCTCCTGTGAAAAATGAAACACACTTTTTGGAAACCTGGACCATTTGATAACAACCAACATCCCTGTAATGTCCCTTCAGGCAATCTATTTATGAATGTGCAAAACTTCATGCAATACAATTTAACTGACAAATTTGTTATCATTAGGTTTCAAAACTAAACACTGAGCTGACCTACCATTTCAGTTAGCCTGTCTGCAGACTCAGTAAAGCAACACTGTACTAGTTCACATTCAAACATACATATCCAGAACAATATAGTTAGAAACTCAGTTAGGCCTAAATTTTTAACTGCTTTGTGTTACACAGCTGAAGAATTTAGCCTGACATAGCTGTCCATGAGAGAACTCACCACATCTACCATAGGGGAAATCTTCAGTAGGGTAGGGCTGACACAGTGGCTCCTATATCACCTCCCCAGTCCCAGTGTAGTGGGTATGACAAGGACAAAAGGGATGATCCCAGGGTGGTAATATGGAGCACTTTGAGTCACTGGCAACTGATGTAACCTAGAGCAATCCTGGGGCTGCTGTATATTTTGTTGGCGGATTTGCCTGGTACAGGGGAAGTCAAGAATCAGGGAAGTCCAAAGGTCACCTTTTAGCTACACTGTGTGGTCCCTGACCGTAGCCAAATATCTGGGTTTTAATTTTTGGTTTAAAATGAAAGCCTAAATTCTGCAGAAATAGATGGAGTACAATGCACAAAATAAGTTCAGTTCGACCTCTGTGTTTACTAAAGGACATATAATCAGTGTAGGGATGAAATCCTGGCCCCAGTGAAGTCAATGGTAAAACTCCCATCGACTTCAGTAAGGCCAGGATTTCACCCAAGGTGTTTAATGCTTGGTGTTTAAGGTTATATAACCTGCCAGTTTGATAGCACTTCTTGTTTTGAAGAGCAAATTGCTTCTTGAATTACAAGGGATTAGTGCTTAATCTGTTCTTTTTGTGTTAGTTTATTCTTGCACCATTTTGTTTTGGTCATTTCTGCATTAGAAAAAAGCAAGAAAAACTGAAGAAAACAAGAATTATAACTCCAAAATGGCTTCTTTTTAAAAGTAACAGAGTAAAATTCAAAGATTTTGTTAGTTTGGGAAAAAAAGTATAAAATGATTGTGAGATTAAATTGCTTAATGTAGTCACAATACCACCCAGGTGGGTACAGCATGGAAAGAGGCAACCTTCCACAAAGTCCTTACTTATATGCTTCAAACATGTTCTTGTGGAACCACCCACTGGGGCAAGATGGTTCATTTTTTATGCACATTCAGTTCTGGGGCTCTCCAATGCCACCTGTTATACCAGCATCACCACAACAGTTGGCACATTTAGTGATATAAAACACTTGGCTACTAAAAACTGGATTAAGATTAACATCATTCCCAGCTCATTTTATATAATCTTTTGCTTTGATAAAGATCATTTGTGGCCAAAAAGCTGTTCTCTTCTTGATACGCATGGTATCATAAACCTTTTTTTGCTTTTACTGTAGTTTCTGGATATAATTACTTTTTGAGAAAGCGAAGTTTATTTTTTCCTTCTTCAGTAAAACAAGATTATGTTACTCTCTGCCTCAAAGGCTAAATTGGGTGAAAATCAAATATGTTATTCACCCATGCGTAGGCTGAGAAATTCCTAACAGCTTCTCCCTCAGCCAATCTATATTAAGAGTATGTAAGTTAACTGGAACATGAAGGCAAATTTGGTGTTACCCCGCTCGTACGCAAGAAGTCACATAACAGTAGATGACTTTCCATTATCACATGCACAAAATGACTAAGTGCAACCTGATCACCACAAAATTACCTTTGGATCCATTTTCTGTTTAGTGTATACTCCATTTGCTGCCGTGAAGATATCATTTAGCAACACAAAGGTGTAGCCTTCCAAAGTAAAAGAGAGATCTGATCTGGGAAAAAAAAAAAACGTGTATATATATATATATATATATATATATATATATATACACACACACACACACACACACATATACATGCGCACACAAAAGAATATAAACCTTGAAAACCCCAGCAAATTCAGGGTTTTGCCTTAAGTCTTTTTTGTATGCTGAACTATTTTACATTTCCACAAACATGTCAGTATTACAAACAAGTCAGCTCTTCACAGAAATTCATACAATAAAGAACTATCGGTACTATTCCATTCTACTTTTGCCCTGTTTTTCCATCTAGCTCAGTTCTGACAACATAGAATCATAGGATCATAGAATATCAGGGTTGGAAGGGACCTCAGGAGGTCATCTAGTCCAACCCCCTGCTCAAAGCAGGACCGATCCCCAATTAAATCATCCTAGCCAGAGCTTTGTCAAGCCTGACCTTAAAAACTTCTGAGGAAGGAGATTCTACCACCTCCCTAGGTAACGCATTCCAGTGTTTCACCACCCTCCTAGTGAAAAAGTTTTTCCTAATATCCAACCTAAATCTCCCGCACTGCAACTTGAGACCATTACTCCTTGTCCTGTCATCCGCTACCACTGAGAATAGTCTAGATCCATCCTCTTTGGAACCACCTTTCAGGTAGTTGAAAGCAGCTATCAAATCTCCTCTCATTCTTCTCTTCTGTAGACTAAACAATCCCAGTTCCCTCAGCCTCTCCTCGTAAGTCAATACTTACTGAACTTTTTCACACAAGCAGTAACTACAGATTAGAATCTAACTAATTTTTATAAGTAGAATCGGACAGGAAATAACTGTCTCTTCTGTTTTGTTTGGTTACTATTCTCAAATAGGGCAATTTGTTTAAATGATGGTGGAGCCATTAAATTCATGCCAGATGGAAATCATTCACTCAACTATACCTAACTGCTTTATACTTTGTATGTAGCTAACCAAAATATGCTACATTTCTCATGGAATTCCATCCTAATAATATAATTTTCTAACAGGAAAGGCAGAGGAGACAGCAGAACCCCCCCCCCCCCAGTGATCCATCTCAAATTTAAACTTGTACAAAATTATATGAACTATGTACACTGCCTACTCTAATTTCATGACAACCAACAGACTACCCCCTTTCTATCAAGGATTGGGGTGGAAGGGTTCTTATGTTTGATTATGTTATATTTAGAATTTTATCAAGGAAAAACAGTTGCCCTTGTGTATTCTTGGCTTGCTGTGTTATTTATATTAGCATGTATATGCAAAACTTAGTAAAAATGTAGCTAACAGAAACCCTGTTCAGTTAGAACTAGATTTTGCCCTTATACGATTGTGACCCCCCCCCTCCGCCCCCATCCACTTTAAGTAGATCTCTTCTCTAATTTAGGATTTGCACTCATCTAGGGGCAGATTAGCCCCTGAATAACAAAGAAAAAAATAAACTTTAAACATTACTTAATGAGATCAAGTGAAAGCCTTACCCAGCGGCTATGAAAGCCCCAAGAACGATGGCAAATACACTGACTATAATACCCAGTGAATATCGTTTCCTGTAAACAAAAATCAGACAAGATATTTAGAATATTAGAAGAGAAACTAATTGGCTTCCAGTTCATTTAAAAGACTTCAAAATCAATCAGTATTTGGAAAATAGCTAACAGAAGGACAAATCTTGGTGGCCCTAAGCAAGCAAAGTTCTTTCTGACGTCAAGGAGAGTTCTGCCTGTAAGGCCTTCAGGATTTGACCCTGTGAAAATATAAAACCAGTAAGTAATAAAATCTGCAGTCTGACAGGATTCTTATTTATGTTTTACTTGCTAATCTTGTCATAATTTAAGTATAGTTTGTCTTCAGATATTGTTATTGTAACAAAATGCTAATGCTCTAATACTTTGGGTTCTGTAAACACAGCTTGATAAACAGTGTCACAAATTGTCAAAAGTCCTCTGCTGCTACATAATTTCCAAAGTAAAGCCAAGAAAAATATGTTTCAATGCTGGTGAGAGTGGAACAAATTCTGCCTCAGGTACACTGATGCAACCGCAGTCTTCAATGGGGTGGCATTTGTGTAACTGACAGTATGATTTGGTTTGTTGATTCTGGGACTGGTTATTACAACTCGAATTTCTTTTATACCAAATACCTGATATATTTTTAATTAATTTGGCCAAAGAATGCTGTTTACACAGATTGGTAGATGCCCACTTTGCCTTATTGAGCAGATACATTTTAAGGCCCAACCCAGCAAGCTGCTCTGCATGATCAGAACTCCTGCATAGCTCCACTGACTTCAACAGGGCTCCATGTGGGCACAAGGCTCTGCCTGTTTGGAGCAGTTTGCAGGATTGGTGTCTAAAAAGAGCAGACCTTAACCAAACAAACAACAATTTGGACCAAACCCTGCTTATCTTACTCAGGCGAAGTGAAGTCACTAGACTCACTCATATGAATTAAAGTGAGAGGACTTTGTTCTAGATCCACAAAAGTGTATATTTTTTTTATTTCCACAAATAAATTCTAACTAGTTTCTATACTTTTTCCTCTGAGTTTCTCTAATCAGTGAAAATCAGCCATGCAACAGCCTGACTGAATACGACAAATCCTCCACTTGGTAATGACATCAAATAAAAGGTATTTTGCAAATGAAACAAACAAACAAATAAACAAAAATCACCCAAGTATGATGATTTCCAGCAGTAATGTAAGTGGAATGGTAAACTTCCTGAGCACTGTAAACATCGGCAAACTGTCCAAAAAAAGGAAAAAAGAAAAAAATGATCCAAGCACTGTGTCAAATGCAAAGCATTTTTATTGGTTTAATTCTTACCTAACTTCACTAAGCAGAAGATGAACTAAACAGACTAGCATTAAGAAGTTAGCAAAACGAATTCTCAGCCTGTTACCATACATAAAAATGTCAGTCTGACACCAGAGTTAGATTAGATAACATAATCACTGCAAATAAAGAGGCCTGCCAATTTTTCAAAAAAACCCCAAACCCGGCTACCTGTTACAAAGCTTCTCAGAGTTTGAAAAGAGGAAAAAGAATAGAAATAGTTATTTTCAAATTCTACCTAATGAAGCCCATATGAACTGATGTTTTCTGTAGAAATCCTGGTTATAAGAAATAATGAGGGCCTTTATTATAAAGTTTAAAGATGACTAGTGAATGTGGCTCTGTACATGAATAAAAGAAATATAATTAAAGGGATTGTGTTTAACATCAAACAGGTTTTGTGTTTAAAAAATGAAACATAACCAAAAAGATGGAACTAGAAACATGTAAGTTGGTAGTAACCCTATCTATTAAAAAAAATTGTGGCATTTGAATAACAGATAGTTAGGATACACAGAATGATGCATTCTGGGGTCTTGTGTGTTTATTGATAATGCCTTTGCAGCTGATGTTTTCAAATGAGACACCTCTGCCATCTGGACCAATTAAGCCCTTTTACAAGGTAATGACTAGTGGTCATGTTAAAAAATTATACAAATCCTAGTTTCAGGCTTACAACTCACTGAAATCTTGGATTTATACATCTATATCTTGTCTTCAGGACAAATTCTTTCAAAAACCAGATGTGAAGTGGAAAATTCCATGTGGTGAATTACATATTAACAATTAAAACACTGCAGTATTCCTTAATTTATTATATGAAATCATGGAGAAAAATTGTGATGAGTAAATCTAAAAGTATATTTTTGCAGTGGAAGATGGGTGTCTTGCATTTGGAATTATAATAAACCGATACCTTTGTATTTCAAAATAATTTGTGAACCAAACTACAACAATACTCACTGTTAGATTTTGTTGAGCTGAAAGCAATTCCAAATTCACATGAGCAAATGAATTATTAACCACCATATTGTTGCCGGCTGTACAACAGTTAAAAAAGGATCAGTCACATTGGAAAATTGCCATGTGACTTTAATTGGACTATTGGTGATTACATGCTACACACCATGGGTAAAGCGTTTCAGAATCAGGTCCTCAGTCTCTTTAAATTATAGAAAATTAATTTGTTATCTTAAAAAGAAAAGAACAAGATATATACGCCACCAAAGCCTCTTAAACATATAAAACACACATCCAAATTTAATTCCTTTTTAATTTTTAATTCCAAATTTTAATCTATTTTAATTTACCATTAAAACACTGTAAAATACAGAAAAGTTTATGATGGGGGTTTTCATGTTTTTTTTCAAAGTGTGGTCCACATTTTACCAGATGTTCTCTCACAGAGCACTTGCCCTGCCCATTTATGTTCACACAGACCACTTCCCCTCCCAATGACACCTGAATACCATTTACGGGTAAACAAACCTAGTGCTTACACAAGGAAAAGTTAATTAAGGAAAGTATTTGTGGTTTTTAGTTGTCTTCTATGCATTAAGCATTTAGTTCTATTGGAGAAAATTTAACCCCTGCTTTTTTCCTTCATCTCCCTCTCACATGTACTCTGTTTCTTTCAGCTGGAAACAAGGACCAGCAGCCCCCGTTCCACAGGCTACAGTTTGGGACCCTCCCGTATAACATTACTGGAAATTGCTCCATGGGCACTACTACAGCCTCAGGTCCTACTACTACCATGCTGCCTATGATCCCTTTCCACAGGGAGCTTAGTCCCCAGTTCACATAGCAGATCCTAGGTCATTTCAGTCCTGTCAACAATCCTTATACCTGCAGCCCTGGTGTGAAGGCAACCACCATGGGGCAGTGTTCAGGGGCATAGAGAAAATGTAAGTATGTATGCCTTCTGTATGTCCTCTCCGCAGCCTGTCCTTCCTATCCAGTGAAACCAAGCTGGTTCCTCTACATGTGAATTCCATCCATCCCCTGTTCCAGTCTACGTAACTCATGCAAGACTTTGGTATACAAAGAAAAATAATAAATAAATAAATAAATAAATAAATAATAATACCTAGCTCTTATATAGGGCTTTTCACCATAGATTTCAAAACTATTCATATGCATGTAAAGGCATTTTTCTTACAGGTTTCACCCCTCTTGTTGGGCTACCCATGGAATGCTGGCCATTCACATGAAGAGAAGAAAACATTTAACAAACACATTTATTATTGCAGTGAAACTGCGTTCGCACTCTATGTTGGTACAGACTATGCTAATCCCTCCTAAAGGCAGCACAGAGATTGTAAACTGATCAGCTGCTTTGGTTGAGATTTTCAAAGCAGTGCAGGGGATTTTGTCATACATCATCTATTAAAATTAATGTGCAGCTAAATCCCCAGCACTACTTTGAAAATCTTAACCTTTAACCTTATACTTTGTACCTACAAGAATAAAATAATAAAAACCAAATGGTCTACTATGACCCGTGCTTACTGTACCTTAGTTTGCTGGTGCTTGTTAATCCACTTATGTGATTTCCAACATAAAGCAGAGGCAGAGGAAACAACTGCAATAAAGTCACAGCACAAGTCAGATTAGACCTATGCTTTAAATTACTGTTGAGGAACTTTGAGTTATTTTACTAGTGTAAAATTCCTTCATTCCTAAAAGAGATTATTTTTCTTAGGGGGGAGAAAAGAACCCCACATCCATTGAATTTATTAAACAATATCCTCGACTGGTGTTCATTGGCATAACTCCATTGACTCCAATAGAGCAACACTAAATTACATTAGCTGAGGATCTGGCCCAATATAGATTAAAAAAGAAATACTCAGCACCTGACTGGTTTCACTTTTGTAAAATTAATACTTGATTAGCTTAGACCTACTGTTTTTATTTAGATTTAAAACAGAAAGAAATTGAGCGGGTGGAATGAAAGCATGACTGATCGTCTGTAAGGACACAGTAGAGTACACAGAAGAGCACATACTACTATGTATAGAAAAAGAGATTATTTTAAGTACAGCTATTGAGGAGTCCTAGTGAACAATCATATAAATTATACAGACTGCTGAAAAGAAAATTTAGATGTTTAGGGCTAGGTTAGACTGTAGGCCCTTTAGGGCAGCACCTATAACAATGCGGTCCTGACACTGTAGGATTGCCAGACGTCTGGTTTTCGGCCCTAGCTCCGCGCGGCTCCCAGAAGTTGCCACCAGGTCCTTGTGGCTCCTAGGCGCATGGGCAGCCAGGGAGACTCCGGGTGCTGCCCCCTCCCCTTGTGTCAGCTCTGCAGTGCCCACTGGCCAGGAACCACGACCAATGGGAGCTTCAGAGGCAGCACCTGTGAGTGCGAGGGAAGCGCACGGAGCCTCCCTCATCGCCTATGTGCTTAGGGGCTGCACGGCAGGGACCTGGTGGCCGCTTCCTGACAGCCACGGTAAGCACTGCCAGGACTCTGCACCGCAAGCCCCTCCCACACCCCAACCCTGTCCAACGTCGGAGTCCCCTCCCGCACCCAAACTCCCTCCTGGAGCCTGCACTCTGCACACCCCAACACCCTGCCCCAGCCCTGAGCCCCCTCCTACACCCGAAAACTCTTATGCCTGGCCCCACCCCAGAGCCTACCCCCCCAGCCAGAGTCCTCAAACCCGACCCCACCCCCAGCCCAACCCCCAGCCCCAGCCCGGTGAAAGTGAGTGAGGGGTAGGGGGGAGAGCAAGCGAAGGAGGGAGGGGGATGGAGTGAGTGGGGACAGGGCCTCAGAGAAGGGGCGGGTCAGGGCGCGGGGCCTTGGGGCTGGAGTGTTCAGTTTTCTGTGATTAGAAAGTTGACAACCCTATGACTCTGACAGAAGCCTTTGGGCCCTACCACAGTACAAACAAATAACAACAGATTGCATCTAGCCCGAACAGAGCATGCAAGGAGCTATGTATCCCTGACACAGAAAGACCATAGGAGTCTAAAGCCAACTGAGGTAACCAGAGGGGACAGAGAGGAGCCATAGCTCTGGCCTGGCTCTACATGAGCTAGCAGAGCTGGACCGGCATGGTGGAGGGACATGCCACAACCATGCCTGGTGTTGCTGTGTGTGTTCCCCAAGAGACATTGATTTATGTGCTTTTAAAACTCTATGTGACAAAAGTATATAGACATGAACATTTTATTTATTTTAAAAAGTATGCCATATTTGCTCTCAAGTGGAAGGGAAGAACAAAGGAGACGCAGGCGGAACGGGGTGACAGTATATTTACAGCCTATAAATCTCTCATAAAATGACCCTGCAAACATTTAGCAATAACAACCCCCTGCTGCAGCATTTTATCCAGAAAGAGAACTTTAGATATGGGGTGAAAATGGAACTGAGTGCAATGGAAAAGAGAATATATTTTCACTTATTGTAATGGTGAAAAAACACAGACAACTGCAACTCACCTAGCACAATCCCAGAGGGCAGTGAAAAATTTGCCGAACAATAGCCAAATATCGAGAGCTTCTCCCACTGAAATCAGCAGTTTGCAGGCACAGGTCTCAAATTCAAAGTTCGGATTAAATTTATCTGTAATTTGAAGATTCTCCATCTCAAATGTGGGTCCAGTCATGCCAGCTGCTGAGCACCCTCAACTCTAGAGGAGCTGAGAGTGCTTCACATCTAGCAGGAGGCCTTTTTGTTTCATTTTGTGGCCTCTGGCTCTCCTTCAGCATGATGGATAAGACCAATGCTAGAGTACTCTATACTGGGAATGAGAACCCACAGTGATTTAAGAGAACTTGAAAGTGAAAGGGAATCTAACTGTGCTACAGTTAATTACAGCCTAAATACACTTTACAAAGTAAAAGAATCAACAAATATAAACGCAACTGATGTGCTGAGACTAGGAAAATCCGGTATTATGGCTGGTACATAACTGCTGAAATGTTGCAACACTGATTGCTCAAGATATAGTTCCAGAAAACCTCCAAAGCATTAATACCGAAAAATATAAAAGAAACGCCTGGCACCGAGGATACAGCAAGGAAAGAATATATGTGGGGAGCAGTATGCATGGGGAACAAGGTGGTCTCAAGGATCCGATAAGATTGTGACATTTGCGCTACTGCCCCTTAGTACCAACCTACCCACTGAGACTTCTTCCCTGATCACATTAAGGAGAAAAACAGGTGTCCCCCATGATCATAGCTGTTCCTGCAAGACTTCTATACATAGAAGGGCCATTGATTTCAATGGGAATTCCATGTAAATAGGGCTCATGGGATGAGGCTCTTTAGTAGTAAGGTGTGTTCATGGTAAAACTTCTTAGGCCCTATAGGAAGGATGGTTCTGTAATTAAGGTGCCGGGCTGGGACAGAAGAGATCAATGGAAGAACTGGGAACTGAACCCAGACTTCCTGTGTGACTTTGGGCAAAGCACTTAGGCCCTGATCCTGCATCAAGATGCACACGGGCAGACCTCTGCACCCATCCAAAGTCCCAGTGACTTCCATGGTGTTCTGCAGTGGTGCAAGAGTCTGCATGTGTGTATTTCACTGCAGGATCAGTGCCTTATTCACTCTGTGTCTCAGTTCCCAGTATGACACATTGAGATAATAGATCCTTTCTCCTATTCTTTGTCTTGCCTTTTCAGACTATAAGCACTCTTACTATGTGTATGTAGCAAAATGTAGTACAACGGGTCCTGTTTGCACATAATTAATAAATAAAATAAAATAATAATAATAATAGTGTTTTCCCACTGCAGAATACTGGAGTCAAACTGTGGGGCTGATCTGAGAAGATAATTTTATTGTTAGACACTACCCTCTCAAATCCATCCTCTCTCATGCCAAACACAAACTGCATAATCAAACTGCAATTTAATTCTGTCTCTATAAAATGCAAGCTTGTTATAGTGAAATTAAATTATCTACTTACAACAAATTAAGAAAATAAAGACACAAAATCAAAACTTCATGGAACATCTGGAAAAATCAGAATGTTTGCAATTTTTCCATTGTACCTTCTGTCCAAAGAAAACATTTTTGAAAAACCACAGTAAGAAGACGATTGACAAAGGTACAATTTCCTTCTAAATCAAAATCCAGACATTTCATACCTTCATAGGGATACTTTTGTCAAAATCAGGGAAGTGAATAATCTTATTTAATTTTGACACATACAGAATAAGTATGGTGGTTGCCATCTAAGAAAAGAAAAGAAAAGCAAGACACAATGTAAGAGCCAAAAGCTATTTTAAACTTACATATAATAACTGTTTTCAAGACAAGTTCATTACACTTATTAGACAAGTACAGCACTAGACAGCATATCAATTAAGTGTTACTTTCAATGGACAGTAACAGAGTACAAAGAAACAGCTGGGATATTTTTCTTTTTTACCAACCATATTGGTTGAAACTACAATACAAATATGACATGCTTTACTGGCATGAGAACATGTGTGACACCTTAACATATGTATATACTCATTGGGTAATTGAGCAAATAAAACAGATGATCAATGCTCCATGCTATTCATGCAAATTTCTTATTACTAGTGGATTCTCTCAACCAATCAGAATGCAGATGAATAGAAGAAGACCCAGTCCTACAGCTTTCCTAATGATGTGTGAGACAGAGGGCTGTGAGTGGACCAGTATATTGGCAAAGCAATTAGTAATCCATGTATGTATGGTCAGAATGAGAATGTATGGAGAGAAAGCATGGAAACCCTCTGGATTCTTAGGTTCTGTGAGGAAATCTGGCTGCATCCATGCAGGACTTGGCCCACTCTGAAGTGCTCCCCTGGTTTTTCTGCTCTTTACCCTTTAACAGCAACATGGCTCCCTTAGGAGCCATGGCATCACTGGGACTTCACCGACACCTCTACATTTCAACCTTCTCAATGAGGTCATGGAGATCAGTCACTACGCTACGTACATAGGAAAAATTATCACCTCACCAACTTTCCAGCAGAAATCTGCATGGTACAGAGGAGAATATACCATGGAGAACAAGAGTTCCCTACTCCCATTTCAAGGCTGAGGAGCCCCAAAGATACATTTGTTGTATGGAGATGTTTCCACAGTCTCTGGAGGTAGAGAGCATCCCACTGCAGTCCAGCTCTTTTCTTTCACATATCTGAGCTCTTTTCTGGCCACTTTGCTTCCCTCTATATCACTTTGCAGAGAGGTGCTTGTGGCCCACTGTTTCCCTTTTGTTCTCTAAGCTCAGCATCTTCTTGCCCTCATTTAAAAATCACAGCTCTCTCTTAAATTGTTTAAATTAACAACAAATAAGACTTCAATCTAGGGCTCTATTCTCCCCACCCATTCCTTCTTTGAGTAATCAACTCTTTTCATTCCCAGTGTAGACAAATGGTTAGATATCTCTTTTACCAGTTTCAACAAAGATTTCTCCCTTTCTCCTGCTACACCATTGTCCTCAGCTTTATTGTCCCCTCGGCCTCTGTAGGCAAAGAATAAAAATTATGTGGATCCCTATTAGCAAACTGCAAGGGAATTAGAAAGAACTGTGAGGGAATGCAGAGACAGTGCCACCACACATACATTCCAGGTCTTCAGTGGATCCCCTGGGATCCATATGGATCTGGGGAACTAGCAGATTTTGAGGGCTGAGCATCTTGTTCACTGAATTTTGCAAGAGAAAAGTTTGTGGCATTTCCAGTCCTCTACATGGGTTTTCCCACGTAAGGGTTGAATTGGATCCTAATTTCCTCCAGGGCATTAAAACAGATAAACTGTGAGGAAGAGTGATTTCTTCCATAACAGTAGTATTGCACTGTAAGATGAAAGCACTTAATTTTATTATCAATCTTAACTGCAGTATATTAAGTTTTATTGTTGAACATACCTGTCCAATTCCAAGAACCATTGGAGATGGGAATCTGAAAAGAAAAGAGAACTATAAACATACATATCACAACAACAAAAGTGTGAGGAAGCAATAGGGTTCCTATTCCCTTAGGCCAAGCTTATGAAAAATGCGTGTCTAAATCCATGTTAGATACCTACATGACTGGCCAAATTTTCAAAAGTGCTGAGCAACCGGCAACTGTCACTGAAGTCCCAGGTAATCTTGCACTATTCTAGTCGAAGGCTATTCCCTCCTCCCCATCCTCCCAAAATGCAACATATCACAGGCTGTATAAATGTTGCAGAAACATACATTGGCTGCTTAAATAAAAGCCTATTTCTCTACCCTCTGGATTGGCTTCAGCCCAAAGCAAAGATACTTCAAAGGAAGGGATGCAGTTTGAGTAGGATATTTGTAGAATCATAAAGCCCCCAAGGATCTTTTTTTAATCCATAATAAATTAATTTTTAAAAAAAATTAAGGCACTAATTCTCCATGGGTATCTTGATGTTAGGAGATGGGTCTAGCAACAAGTTCCTACAGATGCTTCTTATCCCATAGCAATACAGGCTGGAATTTGTGGGTGCCAACTTGTTAAGTGCTGAAAGACCTCAACTTTCCATGAATTTAATAGGGCACTGCTTGCCAGGAGGCACTTAGCATCTCACAGGACTGGTCAGCAAAAGGGTTGGTTTGCACTCAAACTTTCACCACAATAGCAAAACATTTTAATTAGACCCTATTTTCGTGCAAGTCTGCATGTAGCTTAAGAAAGCAAGCATCTGATTTCTTGGCAAGCTTTCTAATTGTGCAGGTATCCAGTGTCCAGCACTCCATGACACTGTGATTATGAATCACAGAGGTTGCTAAAAACTGTTAAAGCACCACTGAGCAAGTACAAGGAAGCACCCTTCTCAGCTGAGTGACCTCAGACTAGGACTGTAGTGTTAGCAATAGAAACAATCTGAACAGAGCAGGAAGAACGTCATAACTATACTCAAATCATAATATAAAGAGAGGGTCAAGAAGGTCCAGAAGAGATAAAACTTCTGGGAAATAGAGATGAGATTCAGGAAATACAGAAAGGAAGAGACAGGATATTTACTGATAGATGTATTACATATGCTGTTCATCACTATATGAGTACATGGTCTGTATTCATCTATACAACAAATGAAAGTTTGTATTATATGAAGATCTGGGAGACATGTAATAGACCGTAGTTGTATGTTTCAAAGAGCACTAACTTTTAGCAAATGCAGCAGAAATTGTGTACCTTTTTTTCCTCAGCTTCTGATAAATACTGGAATAAAAAAGTTAAAAGAGAGAGACTGGGCTCTGTAAAGATGGCAATATTCTTTAGCTAAGGGTGCGGAATCCCGGAAGTAACATCTGGCCAAGAGGACTGTGACTGAATGTGATTATTGTTTCAAGCCAAAAGATGTAATATCTTTTGTTTATTATTAATTTAAAGAAGCCTGTTTTTAGTTTTACAATTGTTTTCCTTTGTATACCTTAAAATGCAGGACATAAAAAAAAATTCTTCCATCCCTAGTTCAGAACACTTAAAGTTTTGTATATTGTTGTAATTCTCGATTGCAGAATTTATCTATCAGTCTGTGAGAGACAATGATTCCTACAAATAGCTGGACTTTCAGGTATACAGATAATTAGGCGCTAAATTGGTGTTTAGGGGAATACCAATCTTTTGTATCTGACGGAACAGTGGTTTTGCTGCTGAACTATCAAGAATCTTCAAATCAGGAAAGTGCTTCTTTATTTTCCCCCCATACCTAAGAGGGAAAGATTTAACAACAGTAGTTGTTTCACTTCTGTGCTGCTACTGGTGATGAGATTACAACACTAATAATCATATTCACTTACTGACTTTATTCACTTTTTTTACTAATTTTTTATTAGACTTGTTCTATTACTTGAACTGGGCTTAATTCTGTATTTGATTTTGTTTTCTAATCAAATCAATGGGATTCCATTGGTCACAGGGATCTGTGTTAGTGAGCCACAATGTAGGACATAGGCCTTCAATTTGCCCTGAGGTTTTTTGTGAGCATGTAGGTAGAAGAATGATCTTATGTGTAAGGATCTGTTTTGGAATTGAATTCAGGAGATCTGGGTTCAGACTCCCTCTGTGACCTCAAATAAGTCACTTAAGCAGAAATTTTCAAAAGAGCCTAAATTTTGCCTGACGGTTTCAGGTGGGTTTTGACCAGCTATGGAGATGATCGACATCTCTGAAAAAACATTATGATAAAATTTTGAGGGGGACAAAGCAATAAAAAACCCTTATTTTTTACTGCACTGCTTTCATTATTTGTGCATATTGGAAGTAAATCTACTCTAAAATTAAATGGATTAACCACTCCCCGCCTGGATCTTTGTAAATGTCAGTTTCAGGAAGTGCTTGACCATTTGTAAATGTATTACTATTGTCAAGCTGTCTGGAGTGGCTCACAACTGTGAGTGCCTACCTCCGGGCAGACTGTCAAAAACAGGGTAGACACTCCAAACTGGTGGTATGTTCTATAATTAGTTCTTACCAACCTGGTAAATAATTCGAACTCCTGAATCACTATAACTGCCTTACCATGGAGTCACAAACAGTCCCCTTAGGCTCTCCAGTCTATCTTGCCACCCAGGCAAGCTGGATTTAGTGATAAATAGTCACTTACACCAAAAAGCACAAAATATTCAGGTTGCTCTCAGTCCCAAGAGACAGGTCACTTATCCCAGGTCAATTGGTATCTTAGCTCTCACACCAAGACAACCCTTGTAGCCAATTCAGTAATAAACTAACTACAGGGTTATTAAGAAAAAGAAATTAGAGTTATTTACAGGTTAAAGCAAGCATGTAACACAAATGAGTTGCAGTCTAAATCCTAAGAATGACAGCGTCGTAGTGATTGGTCAATGCAAAATGTCTTTTTTCAGGGCCCCTCCAAAAGCTGGCTATTCCTACCCACGGATTTGCAGACAGGACGGAGGACTAAGAAAGCCGGGGGGGCAGCAGCTAGGATTGGGGTTGGCTCCCGCGCCAGCTTTGGAGGATTCAGGGCCAGCCCCAGCATAAATATTCCTTTTGCAGCCGGCAAATTGCGCGTGTGCGTGAGCGGCGTTTTCCGAGGGGGAGCGGAGGAAGTGAAGCGGAGGAGGAGCCGGACAGAGGGACGGGAGCCCTGGCCCCTCGTCTCACCGGTAAGTGGTCAGCACGGTCTTGTTCACCAGGACGATCAGGAAAGAGCAGGTTCCATAGAAGAAGGCGGAAAGCAGCCTGAGCAGCGGCGGGTGGGCAGCACCAGCCGGCTCCTCGTCGGCCTGCTGAGCGCTCATCTCCTCGTACTTGCAACGTGCCTGGGCCGCGGACGACAAAACCCAGCCCCTGGAGAGCGGCGAGGCGCGCCGCCGGACATGCCCGCGGCGAGAGTCCCACAGCAGCACCCAGGGCAAGAGCCGCCGCCCCAGCCCCTCCTTCCTCAGCACCAGGGCAGCGAGACAGGAAGAGCTCGCGCCCCGCCAGTCCCCTCCCTCAGCAGGCGGGCGCCTCGCTGCTGCCCCGTCTCGCTCCTGCTGACGCCTCGGAGGCGTGTGGCTGGGGCAGGGCGCGCCCGGGCTCACGGTCCCATCGTTCAGGTGCGCTGCCGGATGCCAGCCCTGCCCGCTGCACCGATTCAGGCTGAGCCCCGGAGTGGAGGGAGCCAAGCAGCAGGGAGGTGCCGAGAACAGCAGCTCCAGCTCGTAGGCTGTAGCCTGGAAAAGTTGGGTAGACTCGCACCTCAGCAGTCCCGGCCCAGCACTGGAGAGAGACGCGAGCTGAGTGGTTTCCTCCCGCGTCCCAGCCAGGTGGGCTTCTTTGCCTTCCGAATTTGTTCCTCTCTCTCGAAGATACATGTTCACTCCTACGTCTGTGGGAGATGCACATAAAGGTGCATGTAAGCATGGGGCCTGTACTTATGATTTTTAAAAAACAAACAAACCCCACAATGGAAAAGGACGTGCAAATCTAGAGTTTAGTGATTGTTATTATATACACTTGTGGCAATTTTTGTTTTTGAGAATGAAGTGAGTGGCTAGAAATATATACTATGTATATACTCACCAGTGTTAAACATGAATTAAATATAAAGAATTTGAAAAGCAATGATTGAATATTTAAGCTTTCTCTACACAAGAATTGCACCCATTTAACTTAAGGTGTGTTTTTGAAACTTATTTTGGCTATACTTGCGAGTGACAGCGCAATAAAGGAGCCCCTGGCGCACTAGCTCATTACCCGTCCACACTGGCAAGGTACGTAGAGCGCTCTGACGCTGGTACTCCACCTCGGCGAGTGGAATAACGTTTGCTGCATCCCCGCTGGAGCGGCCGCAGCACCAGTGCGGACGCCCTGGTCCTATAGTGCGCTGTGATTGGCCTCCCGAAGTGTCCCACAATGCCTGTGCTAGCCACTCTGGTCATCACTTTGAACTCTACTGCCCTGCCCTCAGGTGACCAACCATCAGACCTGCCCTTTAAATTCTCTGGGAATTTTGAAAATCCCCTTCCTGTTTGCTCAGCCAGGTGTGGAGTGCTTTCAGTGAATCTTTCCAGGTGACCATGCCTCCATGCGCCAGGCAAGCCCCAGTATGGAACAATGGCAAGGTGCTGGACCTCATCAGTGTTTGGGGGGAGGAAGCTGTCCAGTCCCAGCTGCGCTCCAGCCGTAGAAATTACGATACCTTCGGGCAGATATCAAGGGACATGATGGAAACTTGCATCAACACGATTCCAACAGTCGACTTTCCCATTCCAAACTGGTTAGCAACCAATCGGTAGCTGTCTGGAGTTGCCAGCTTCCAGATTGCACCCACTTCTCCACCGTCAGGGAAGCTCTCAATCTCGTGTCCTTGCGCCGCAGGGTGGGGGGTGAGCTCCTCACACAGTCCCATGAAAGTGGGTTTTCTCATCTGAAAGTTCTGCAGTCACTGCTTGTCATCCCAGATTTGCATGACGATGTGATCCAACCACTCAGTGCTTGTTTCCGGAGCCCAAAAGCGGCATTCCACGGTGGTGAGCATGTCTGTGAATGCCACAAGCAAACTCGTGTCATATGCATTACTCAAGTCGATATCGTCAGCCCTCACTGTCACTTTGGATCATAAGGAATAACTCAACTGCCAAACGTGATGTGCTAGTGAGACTCGTCAGCATATTCCTCAGCAGTTCGGGCTCCATTCCTGCAGACCGAAAGGGAAGACAGAGCGTGCAGTACAAAAACCGTTGAAAGATGGTGCCAAATGTGGACAGAAACACAGGGATTGCTGGGATGCAAACTGATGGATCACGGGGTGTTGGGACAGGACCCAGAATGCCCTGCACCCCCCAACCCCTTCCCACAAACCACAGCACCAGAATGGGAAGAGGTGCTCTGTGGGATAGCTGCCCATAATGCACCGCTCCCAATGCTGCTGCAAGTGCTGCAAATGTGGCCACTCCAGTGCGCTTATTCCTGTCAGTGTGGACAGACTGCAGCGCTTTCCCTACTGCGCTCTCCAAAGGCGGGTTTAACTCAAAGCGCTCTACATCTGCAAGTGTAGCCATGCCCTTAGTTAAACCAAGGCGGCGTGTGGGACACTTATTTCAGTTTAGCGAAAGTTTATTTAATATCTGTTTTAAGTTAAATCAGAATGAACTACTCAGACTGAAATAAGAGTATCAACATGGGGCTTTGCACCAGATTAACTAAATCAGTTTAAAAACATTTTGAAGATAAATCAGTGCAACTTTCTCATGGTAGATAAGGTCATACTTCTCAAAGGTCAAAGATACTTTAAGTTTCCAAAAAAGTAATTACACTTACTATTACTTTTTGATATGTTTAATGAGCAATTTCAACTTTTTTAAAAACAGGTCATCTCACTGGTAGTCTTTTCACTACCCTGAGCACAGATTGAGGTAAACCAAAATTGTAAACATTTATAATTCTTAATGGAATAAAGCAGTGATACCACCAGCTGCCTCAAAGTACAGTGTGAATAGAGGCCAGGTCTGCAGAAACAGACTTTCTTACATGCTGCTTCAGTGGGCTACTCTGGTCTTCGTTCTAAAGCCCTTTTATTTCAGAAGGCCATCATTCTGCATTACCAAACTGATCCCCAGTATAACTGCATAGGCCACTTTCATTGTGTAACATGTATATTACACTTAGTCAAAATCTCCAAGTCTTCTTGGCTTTCATTCTTGCTAAATTGATATGAAAGAAATCTTGTCTATTGGGCTGCTGGTATATGAATACTAATATGCTGATGACATTCATATACTGCTCTGCTCATCTACATGCACTCTCTCGTCCACTTAAAGCATTTGATAATGCTAAATTGTATCAGTACCTTCACAAATGTGATTAAGTGGTACTCGAGAGACAAAGTGTGTGAGCGAATATCTTTTATTAAACCAATTTTTGTGAGTAAGAGACCAGCTTTTGAGCTTACACTCCTTCTTCAGGTGGTACTATCATGCAAATAAGACTCAATTCTGCAATTTCCTGTACAGTATTTGTACAGCCTGTTGTATAGGAATGCAAGATTCTCACAAAAGAGCACCTGTTAGAAAGAGACAGCGTACACAAATTCCAGGGTTAGACTTTTAGGTAGGTTCTGCCCCCTCGTGAGAAAGCTAAGCAGATTGCTCATTTTAGGTAATTTTCAGCTATGGATTTGATCAGTAGGGCATAGGAGTGGTTACTTTCAGATTTTTCAGTGATCTCCATTCAGTTTTTTGTGGGTAGGCCACATGCCAATTGCCACTCTTGCTAATACCTTGAAGTGACTTTTTGTAAGTTAACATGAACTTTCCTCCTGCTCATTCAGGAGAGGAAATCATCTTTATAAAATATTTCATTTTCCTTAACAATGCTTTTATTTACCAATTTTGTCCCCTCAGAGAACCAAGTATAGAAGTCTGGTTAATAACACAAACTATAATTTCATCAGTCTTGCCACTTAAGTATTCTGGACAATGTTGCAGGACAATTCCAGTTGTATATCATTAGTTTTCTAGTGTCCATAGTTTACCTTAATCTAATACTAATAAGCAGGGTGGATAAAAATCAATTTTTTTTTTAATTAAAAAAAATCAGATTTAATTTAAATCAGATTTTTTTTGATAAAATGCTTTGAGGAAAAAACCTATCTAGCAATACTTGATCTATAATGTATCATCATGGAATAGGGATTATAAATTCTAATTCTATAGTATGAGACAATATATTCATGTAATGTTTTTAAGAAAAGGTTTGTAAATGAGCTTCAATAGTTCATGGATTAGGGACCCAATTTTATGGGATTCCAGGGGCTTCTGTATAGATTGTATTTAGGTTAATCTTTCTATCTACCAAATGGGACTCAGTGCTCAGTCTAGAAGATACCATCAGAGATGCTTAGTTTTGCAGTTCTGAAACTGTGGATTTGTGTCTCCAGAGATAAACATGTTAACAGCAAAAATGTTTTAAAATATATAGAGGTGAGAAATAAGACCTCAACCCTATTGTCCCTCTGCAAATTTATGTACACAATCAATCCCTTACCTCTCTTTAAAAGTGCAAAATTTCAAAAAGTTCAATGAATAGAAGATTGTTGGGGCAGAATAGATCTGGACAAGGAGAAGAAGTCGGGGGATAAAACGTGAGAAGGGAGGGACAGGCAGTAGAAACAAAAGTGAAACAGTTTGAGCAGCATGTTCCAGGAGTCTTGAGGTCTTTGAGTGTAGCCTTCATTGATTTGAGATCTAGCATACCGTTCTCTCACTAGAATAGCAACAGGCCGTAAAAGACAGTTTGGAAATAAGAACCATTCAGGAAATTTGTTTGCTGATGTTTTAGAGAAAGTCACACCAGTGAACTAGTGGAAGTCACTTAAGCATTTGGATTCAGAGACTGTTGAAGTGATAGTCTCACTTTTAACAGCAGTTGCTTCTTCCACCAGTATAGAAAAAATATTTTCTTCCTTTGGACTAATTCATTCCAAATTGAGAAATCGGTTAGGACCCGAAAAAGCAGGGAAGCTTTTTTTCCTCTTTTCCAGACTATGAACAGGAAAATGAAGGTGAAGATGACTGAATTAGCTGCAGAAGCCAATATTTTAAGCTTCTTATGTTGACTTAGCTGACAGTCCATTTAATTTGTTTAATATTTCATTTAACTATTTTAGTTAAAAACAAAAACAAACCTGATTTAAAAAAAACTTGAATGTTTAAATTCAAAAATTCACATGCTTGTTTTGTTAAAATTCTATGCTTGCTGTTGAAGAACAAAAACCAAGAATACATAACATTGTTGTTTTAGTTAAATAAAACAATTTAAAAGGTCTGTCTGGTGATGTTCTCCTCCTAATACAGCATGGCAAGAAAATCCTCCAAATATTGATTAACCTGTTGAATTGGAGATAGTTCACCTCCCAATGACTTCATAGATATAGTCTTCAATTACCTTTGGTAAATTAAATAACCAAACAATCATTCATTTTCTGATATAGCTGTAAAACTAGTCTAAAAAGTTTTCAAAATAAATCACTTTAAAAATGTATAGTGTGTACCTCCTAAAAATGAAACCTACATCTCTCTAGGTTATAACAACCAACAAGACA